GTTTGAAAAACACCTGTGTTATACGTGAAGGAGATTTACTAATTTTAGGTATGTGCTAGAAATAGGGATCTACTGGAACTTTTTCCAGGAAAGGGAATGCTAGTGGGCAGCACCATTTTTCTTGCCCTCCTTTAGTCTAGCTGGCCCAGCACTGGCGGACACCAGTTCTGATACTCTCCATCTACCTTGCTAGCACTCTTTGCCCTGCCTCAGTGTTCCCCTGCAAACCCACCCCCGTGGGAGCCCCTCCAAAGCAACTACTACCTCATCATGCCTGGCGGGCAGCCCAGCCCAGGACAGGCACCCCTACAAAATGACTCCTGTCCTGGGGAGGGAGGTAAGATTCCTGCCCCATCTACAGCATACCCATAGCCATTATGGCCAGCCAACTCAACCAGCTGTACCAAGAGATGGTTGCATCCACTAGCAAGCCACCAGCATCTATAGCCCTGCTTCTCAGCCAGCTACAATGGGAACTAATTCCACCTACCAGCACACCAACAGCAGTTATAGATGGGACTCTCAACCAGCTGTGTTAGGAGCTACCCCACCCAGCAGAAAGCCAGCAACAGCTATATTTGCACCACTCACCAAGGTGCACCAGGGTCCAGCTCTGCCTACCAGCATGCTCACAGCAGTCACACCCAGGTCACTGCTGACAACAGGGCTGATGGCCAGCCAAGCCCACAAGTGTACCAGCAGCAGTCATGGCCAAGTCACAACAAGACATATGTCCCACAGAGTGGACACTCCCACAGTGGCTGGTTCTGTTGACCAGGGAGACTGCACTACTGAGCACCACAAGGTGCCTTTTCATAAGGCCACTACTTTCAGTACCAGAAAACATAGATGACATACCTAATTCAAAGAAACAAACACAGAGACTCGGACAAAATGAGGAGACAGACGAATATATTCTAAACAAAAGAACAATAAAAAGCTTCAGAAAAAGAACTAAATGTAATGGAGATGAGCAATCTATTTGATAAGGACTTCAGAGTAATGGTCATAAAGATATTCATCAGATTTGAGAAAAGAGTGGATGAAATAAGCGAAAACAGCAACAAAGAGATAGAAAAATATGAAAAAGAACCAAATAGAACTGAAGGATAAAATAACTGAAGTGAAAAATATGCTAGAGAGAATCAAGAGCAGATTAAAAAAATGTAGAAAAACAATGAAGCAATCTGGAAGACAGGGTAGCGGAAAGCATCCAAGCTGAAGAACAAAAAGGAAAAACACTTTTTAAAAGTGGAGATAGGTTAAGGGACTTCTGAGACAATATCAAGCATACTAACATTCACATTAGAGAGGTCCCAGAAAGAGAAGACAGAGGGAAGGGGGCAGAAAACTTATTTGAAAAAATAATAGCTAAAATTTCCCTAACATGGGGAAAGAAAAAGACATCCAGGTCCAGCAAGCTCAGAGAGCCCCAAACAAGATGAACCCAAGGAGGTCCACATCAAGACATATATTAATTAAAATGTTCAAAAAAATTAAAAATAAAAGGAGAATCCTTAGAGGCACTTGGGTGGCTGAGTCAGTTGGGTATCCACCTCTCTATCTCAGCTCAGGTCATGATCTCAAGGTTGTAAGATCAAGCCCTGTGTCAGGCTCTGTGCTCAGGTGGAGTCTGATCAGGATTCTCCCTCTCCCTCTCCCTTTCTCTCAAATAAGTAAATAAAGAGAATCTTTTAAAAACAAGAAAAAAGCAAATAGTTATGTACAAAGGAAATACCATAACCCTATAAGCTGATATATTAGTAGAAAATCTGTACGCCAGAAAGGAGTGGCATGTTATATTCAAAGTACTGAAAGGAAAATACCTGCCACCAAGAATATTCAACCCACAAGGTTATCATTCAGAATTCAGGGAGAGATAGTTTCCCAGAAACAAAATATACTAGTACATCACCACTAAAACTGCCTTACAAGAAGTGTCAAAGGGAATTCTGAAGTGGAAGAGAGAAAGCCACAACTAGAAGAAAATTATGAAAGGAAAAATTTCCACTGGTAAAAGCAAACCAAATAAAGGTAGTAAATCAGCCACTTATAAAGCTAATATGAAGGTTAAAAGACAAAATCAGTAAAAACAATTGTATCTACAAAAGTTGGCTAAGAGATGCACAAAATAAAAAGACATAAAATATGACATATAATACATACAATGTGGAGTGCGAGAAGTAAAAATGTAGTGTCTTTAGAATGTATTTGAACTTAAGTGACCATCAACTTAAGACAGATAGCTATATATATGCCATATATACATATGTATATATATATATATATATATATGATGTTACATATGAACCCCATGATAACCACAAAAAAAACCTGTAATAGATACACAAAAAGTAGAGAGAGGAATCCAAGCATAATACTAAAATCATCAAATCACAAGTGAACAGAACAAGATGAAAGGAAAAGAACTATAAACACAACCAGAAAACAAAAAAAAAAATGGCAATAAGTACACACCTGTCAATAATTACTTTGAGTGTTAATGGTCTAAATGCTCCAATCAAAAGAAACAGGGTGAATTAATGGATTTTAAAAAGCCCATCTATATGCTGCCTATAAGAGACCCACTTCAAACTTAAAGATACATAAAGACTGAAAGTGAAGAATAGAAAAAGATACTCCACGTAAACAGAGACGAAAAAAAATAAGCTAGGGTAGCAATACTGAGATCAGACAAAACAGACTTCAAAGACCATGATGAGAGACAAAAAAGAGCATTACACAATAAAGGATCAATCCGACAACAGGATATAACAATTGGGTACAGGATATATGTACCCAATAGAGGGGCACCTAAACATATAAAGCAAGTATTAACAGACCTAAAGGGAACGAGTAACAGTAATTCAATAAGAGCAGGGGTCACCCACATACATCAGTGGATCACCCAGAGAGAAAATCAATAAGGAAACCATGGCTTTGAGCAACCACCAGACCAGCTGGACTTAACAGATATATACATAACATTCCACCCAAAAATAGCAAAATACACATTCATGTGCCCATGGAACATTCCCCAGCATAAATAACATGTTAGGCAACAAAACAAGTCTCAATAAATTTATGAAGGCTGAAATCATATCAAGTATCTTTTCAGACCACAGTGGTATGAAACTAGAAAACAATTACAAAAAAAAATGGGAAAAACACAAACATGTGGAGGCTACACATGCTTCTAAACAACCAACAGGTCAACTACAAATCAAAGAGGAAATCAAACATACATGGAGACAAATGAAAATGGAAACACAGCTGTTCAAAATCTTGGTACACAGCCCAAGCAGCTTTAAAAGGGACGTTTACAGGGTGCCTTGGTGGCTCAGTCATTAAGTGTCTGGCTTTGGCTCAGGTCATGATCCCAGGGTCCTAGGATTGAGCCCTGCACCCAGCTCTCCCTCTCCCTCTGGCCCTGCTTGTGTTCCCTCTGTCACTGTCTCTGTGTCAAATAAATAAAATTTTTTTTTTAAAAGAGGGAGAGACGTTTACAGCAATACAGGACTACCTCAGTATGAAAAATCTCCAACAATCTAACTTTACACCTAACAGAACTAGAAAAAGAACAAAAAAAGTCCAAAGTTAATAGAAAGGAGGGGGGAAAAAAGATCAGAGCAAAAAATAGTTGATCCTTCAACAGCATGGATTTGAACTATGCAGGGCCACCTTCACACAGACTGTGTTTTGTGTGTGTGTGTTTTTTAAGATTTTTTATTTATTTGACAGGGAAAGAGAGAGAGAGAGAACAAGCTGGGGCAGCAGCAGGCAGAGGGAGAGAGAGAAGCAGGCTCCCCACTGAGCAGGGAGCTCAATGTGGGGTTTGACCCCAGGACCCTGAGATTATGCCCTGAGCTGAAGGCAGAAAATTGACAGACTGAGTCACCCAGGTGCCCCCAAATTTTATTTTATAAAGTATAGTACTGTAAATGTCTTTTCTCTTCCTCACAATCATTGTTTTTTTAAGATTTTATTTATTCATTTGAAAGGGACAGAGACAGAGAGAGCACAAGCAGAGGGAAAGGCAGAGGCAGAGGGAGAAGCAGGCTCCTCGCTGAGCGGGCTGCCCACTGTGGGGCTCAAACCCAGGACCTGGAGATCATGACCTCAGCCAAAGTCAGATGCCTAACCATCTGAGCCACCCAGGCGCCCCTTCCTTACAATTTTCGTAATAACATTTTCTCTTTAGCACACCTAATTGTAAGACTAGAATACATACATATTAAATATGCGTCAATCAATTGTTTATATTCTCAATAAGGCTTCCAGTCAAGAACAGGCTATCAGTAAAGCTATGCAGGAGTAAAAAGTTGTATGCAGATTTTCGACTCTGCAGGGGTTGGGGCCCCTAGCCCCCACAATGGTCAAGAATCAACTGTAAATGATGGGGTGCCTGGGCGGCCCAGTGGGTTAAAGCCTCTGCCTTTGGCTCAGGTCGTGATCCCAGGGTCCTGGGATGGAGCCCCGAGTCCCCCCACGGGGCTCTCTGCTCAGCAGGGAGCCTGCTTCCCCTTCTCTCTCTGCCTGCTTCTCTGCCTACTTGTGATCTCTCTCTCTGCATTAAATAAACAAATAAAATCTTTGAAAAAATAAATACAATTAAAAATTTTTTTTAAAAAGAATCAACTGTAAATGAAATAGAGCCCCCAAAACAATCAAAAATATAATGAAACTCAGTGCTGGTTTTTTGCATTTTTTTAAATTTAATTTTATTTTTTTTCAGTGTTCCAAAATTCATTGTTTATGCACCACACCCAGTGCTCCATACAATATGTGCCCTCCTTAATACCCACCACCACACTCACTCAAACCCCTACCCCCATCCCCTCCAAGTTTGTTTCTCAGAGTCCACAATCTCTCATGGTTTGTCTCCCCCTCTGATTTCCCCCAACTCACTCTCCTCTCCATCTCTCAATGTCCTCCGTGTTACTCCTTTTGCTCCACAAATAAGTGAAACCACATGATACTTGACTCTCTGCTTGACTTACTTCACTCAGCATAATCTCAGCACTGGTTTTCTGAAGAGATAAAAGTGATAAACCTTTAGCCAGACTCATCAAGAAAAAGACAAAGAAAACTCAAATAAAATCAGAAATTAAAGAGAAGTTACAACCAACACCAGAGAAATACAAATGATTTTAAGAGGCTGCTACAAAAAATTACATGCCAATAACTGGACAACCCACAAGAAATAGAAAAGTTCTTAGAAATATACAATCTTCCAAAACTGAATCAAGAAATGGTAGAAAATGTGAACAAACCAATTACTAATAACAATATTCAATCAATAATCAAATCCCAGCAAAAAAAGTCTACAACCACATGCTTCACAGGTGAATTCTACCAAACATTTACAGGAGAATTAATCACTATCCTTTTCAGGGGCACTTGGGTGGCTCGGTCAGTTAAGCATCTGCCTTTGGCTCAGGTCATGATCCCAGGGTCCTGTGATCGAGCCCATGTAAGGCTCTCTGTTCAGTGTTCTCTGGCCCTCTCAAATAAGTAAATAACATCTTTTTTTAAAAAATGCAATGGAATACCACTTCACACCCATTAAGGTGGCTATTACTCCAAAAATAAAAATGTAAATAACAAATGCTGGTAAGGATGAAATGGGAATTCCCAAGCACTACTGATGGGAATGTAAAAGATGCAGCCACTGTGGAAAATGGTATGGCAGTTTCTCAAAAAATTATACACAGAATTACCACATGATCTAGCAATTACACTTTTGGATACATACACAAAAGAATTCAAAGCAGGAACTCAAACAGGTATTTGTACTCCTATGTTCATAGCATTATTCACAATAGCCAAAAGGTAGAAGTAACACAATTGTCCTTTAACGGATGAGTGGCTAAACAAATTTTCAAGTGTACCTACAATGGAATATTATTCAAGCTTAGAAAGGCAGGAAATTCTAACACATGCTACAACACAGATGAACCTTGAAGGCACTACACTAAGCGAAATACACCAGTTACAAAGTAAAAACAGTGTTAAGATTCCACTTATATGAGGTACCTAAAGTAGTCAAATTCATAGACACAGAGAGTAGCATGGTGGTTGCCAGGGGCTGGTGGGAGGGGATAATGGGGGATTAATATTTAATGGATATGGAGTTTCCATTTAGGAAAATAAAGAAGTTCTGCAGATGGATAGTGATGAAGGTTGCACAATGTGAATATACTTAATGCCACTGAACTATACACTTGAAAATGATTAAAATGGTAAATTTGGGGGCACCTGGGTGGCTCAGTGGGTTAAAGCCTCTGCCTTCCGCTCAGGTCATGACCCCAGGGTCCTGGGATGGAGCTCCACATTGGGCTCGATGCTCAGCGGGGAGCCTGCTTCCTCCTCTCTCTCTCTCTGCCTCTCTGCCTATTTGAGATCTCTGTCAAATAAATAAATAAATAAAATCTTTCAAAGAAATGGTAAATTTTGTCATGCATACTTTGCTATAATAAAAGAATACATATAGCACACTAAAACAATCCCCCAGGTTTTGTGAGACTGAAGATCTATGTAGAAAAGCTTTGTAATCGATACAGCCCTTCACAAATACCAGCTCTTTTTAATCATTATCACCCTGTTTACTCCAACCTGATACCATTACCTGCATGTTCTGTCCAGCCCTGTTCACCCAGCAGCACACTGTTGGAGTTTTAGTGTGGTACAAGCTATATCCACCTTTGTTTTGCTAAACCCTGGATTCCACACATCACTGCAATAGTTTCCCAGAGTTCTGGTTCTGAAAAAGAACAAGGCCCCCCCAAAAGACAAGTTTTAGACAAGCCTGATTGGATTCTAGAGAAAAAAAAACTCAGAGACTTCCTCCTCTTACCCAGTTCTCCCCAATGCTTGCTTTGGAAGCAGTCCTCATTTAGCAGCAAGAGGTCACCATGCCATTGCCAAGAACAAAGAAAATCTTCCTCCAATTCAAGCTAACTAGCTAACTCCCTGGCCTACTACCAAACAATGTATCTCATAAGGCAGCCCTTGAGCAGGTGAACAATCAGGAAACTTCAGGGTTCTAGGAAACGAATATAGGAAATGTATTCATTGAGTTTGAACTACGAATGAAAGTAGTGAGATAAGAAATAAAAAATTAAGTTTGCCTGGGTGGCTCAGTTGGTTGAGTGTCTGCCTTTGGCTCAGGTCATGATTCCAGGATCCTGGGATGGAGCCCCTCGTCGGTCTCCTTGCTCAGAGGGGAGTCTGCTTGTCCCTCTTCCTCTGCCCCTGCTCACTCTCTCGCTCACTTTCTCTCAAATAAATAAATAAAATCTTTTTAAAAAAAGAAATAAAAAATGAAAATGCTAAAATCAAAAGACTGGAACGACCACCTTTGATGGACTGCACAATTCTCTATACTGTAGCCTCAGAGCTGAACCCTCAAAAACTCACAGAAAGTATAAATATTACTGCAGAACAGGTGTGATAATACAGTAGTGCAAAACGTAGGAATAATGTTTCTTTCTAGAAAGCAAGCCAATTGGAACCTACACCCAGATACTGACCAGGATCTGTGTGGCCCTTCAGGTGCTCTCTGAGCGCCCCAAGTTTCCTTAGCTATTACAGGTGTTGTTCCTTGAGAATTTCTCCTAACATGAGTAATGCTACAGTGCCATCTGGAATCTTTTTCATGCAATGATGTATATCCAGGAGTTGCTGCCTTTGCAGATATTCCCTGGAGACCAAAGAGGGATTTTATTCCATGGCTCTGAGGAACTTAAATGTCGGCCAAACATGAAGTAGTACTTACCACAGCCTTTTAAGTTTGACTTCTATGGCCAAGTGTGCCCTCACAATCTTGAATGTCTTCACTTGCTTCACTTTTACGTTGGCCAAGATTCTTAGTATCGTCAACAAGACTAAATAAGAACTTGGGACTTTTCCATGAAACTTTCTGCCAATGCCCCACAAATCTTGACTATGGTTTCCCAAATTCTTTGATTCTCCACCGGGTATCCTTTCTCTTCTGTGCAAATCCTCCAAATAACACTTATTCTAAATATAGTCCCACTTTTGTAGAAATGCATTTTTCCTAGTTCTCCCTCACACACCTCTTCATACTGCATTGATATTGTTAACTGAGGTTCAGTCATGACACCTACAAAAACACCATGAGACCCCCTACCTTCTGCCGTCATTTTGTTGTAACCTATAGGCTAAAGATATGTATCACTCTGAGACTGTTGCAGTCAAGGAAAACAACTCTGAGGGACAACAGGCACTGAGGCAGGAATCACTAGCACAGGGCCTATAAATTAAACCCAAATATACAAAAGCAAAAGCTTAGAAACCATCCCCTGCACACACCTCCTCCTTTATAACCAGTGGAGTAGGGTTGATGAAGAGAGACCAACAATCCATTCTCTACAAATGACTGATGACAGCACAAGTCCCTGGTTATAGGTGCCTCAACCTATTCTTGAATGGTTCGTTGTTATGAGCCACCGACCCAGTATCACCAAGTCAAATGCTCTAAGTTCTCTTCCAAAAATGGTAATAAAATATGCCGAGTCGCTCATATTCCCGCAGTTATACTGGGAGACAACAGCTACGGGAGTTAAACATTCAGTCTCCGAACCAAAGCAATCCGAGTTCAAATGCTACTTTAGCCGCTTGCTGCGTACCCCAATCAATGATCTTTTCTGATACCCCGCTAGCCTATGCCCTCCGCCAGCTCGCTCCTTCACCACCACCAAACATATGGAGCTGAGGGGTGCTACACAAGAACAGACAGGAGTCTGTTCTCCCTTTACCTCCCCATCTCCTTGGCTATGGTGATGCCTTGAATTTGAGCGCTCCTCATTCTCTCATTCACTAGACTGCCGCGACTCTCTTTCCTCATATTGCTTGGTACACTCCAGCTTTTACAAACTCACCGGCACGCTGCTGGGGCGGGACCAAGCACTTCCCTTCCCTCATAGGGAGGAACTAAAATGTAAGGGCCAAGGTTGTTAGCAAATGACTTCCCCGTTACCACGGTAAAGCGGCTGCCACCATCTTTATTGTGGCCGATGATTCTTCGTGTTGGTCTAAGAAAAAATGAATAATAAGGAACTCTGCAGACTAAAATCCTGCAGATTAGTCTAGGACCGCACAAGCCTAAATCGGAACCGAGTTATATTCCGGTCGCAACCCAGCCCGGAGTGGTTAGCTCTTGGGGATGGAGGGCGCGCCAGCTGCAGACGCAATGACGCCAGAGGAGGGGCCATGTGCGCGCCCTGCCCAGGTGCTTCCGGCTTACGCGCCCGTACTGAAGCGTGTTTAGCGCAGAGCTCAGGCGCCGTAAGGAAGTGTGCTCTGGCGCACCGGAAGCTGCCGGAAGAGAGCGATGGCGGGTTTGACTGTGAGAGACCCCGCGGTGGATCGTTCTCTGCGTTCGGTGTTCGGTAAGAGGAATTCGTGGAGCCAAGCGTCGGGGAGGGATAGAAAGAGACAAGGAGCAGCAAAGAATACCCCCTGCACCTAATGAATTCCTGCAGGAGCTGGTGATGGGTCGGGCTTGCAGCTCTACCTGCCCGTCTTGTGGAACGGCCGCTCTAGTGGACTCGCGGGCAAAGTGATGCTCCCTTCCCCTGAGGTCTCACAGCCTTCTCATGATGTGGCTGAGGAAGTTAAACTAGCGTTCAGTTTCTATGCCTTTCTCCTTTCATGAGCTTCTATTATTATCTAGAATTGAGGGCGCCTGGCAACTGTCCCGTACGACTCACTCCCTGTCCCTGAATACAGATAATATGATGAGTGTATAGAACGCTGTGTCCATTTCCCGCCCTCTCATAAGGACTTTCAGCCTCTGTTTTTTACTTGTAACATTTTGGTTCGATACTGGTAGTGGCCACCTGGAGTCTTAAAGTGGATTGTAAATGAATGAATGAACGAATAGATCTCGTCGAAGAAATTTTAAAGAGGATCAGGTCCATTCTGAGTAATCTTTTCACATGAAATAAGGTTTTTTTTTATTTTTTTAAAGATTTTATTTATTTATTTGACAGATCACAAGTAGGCAGAGAGGGAGGCGCGGGGTGGGGGGGGAAGCAGGCTCCCTGCTGAGCAGAGAGCCGGATGAGGGGACCTGATCCCGGGACCCTGCGATGACCTTATCCGAAGGCAGAGGCTTAACCCACTGAGCCACCCAGGTGCCTGGAAATAAGTTGTTTGTTTGTTTGTTTGTTTGTTTGAAGTCCATGTGGTGATTTTAAAGCACCTTTTGGAATGGCCATAACAAAACAGTTCAGAATAATTTTTAAACATCCTTCACTACATTCATGGTTATTCTTTGAGTTTGTATGTATGTGTGGAAATATAGAAATAATATGCCAGTTTTTAAAATATCAAATACATTGGTATTTTTAATAGTTGTGGATAAGACTTGCAGATCTTCAAGTAAATACCAATGCCAAAGTATTTATTTTCATCGAAGGTAAGGAAAATCATAACACTTGTAAGATAAGTCTGAGAACTGATATTTCGAAGTGCCTGTGCCTTTTATATTTAATCTTAGTAGTTTGTTTTGTAATTAAAGTCAGCAGACAACATTGAAATGTCTGAAATACCATGGAACTAGCAGTGTGGGAACACTATTTTGAGGTAGTTGTTACATTTTCAATGATGTAAGTACTGGTTCGTTTTACTTTCTCACAGGGGAAATAGGTTACATACTCAAACTTTTAATCTGTTGTCTATTTTCTTCCATAGTGGGGAACATTCCATATGAAGCTACTGAAGAGCAATTAAAGGACATCTTTTCTGAGGTTGGACCCGTTGTTAGTTTCAGGTGAGATTCTCCTTTGATTACTTGGGGTTTTCTTTAAAATCACAAATTTGGCCTTTAGCAATAATAGCAAGGTTTTTACTGGTGATTTTTCACATGCATCCTTCTGTTTGTAACAGCTTTATTCCAGTATAATTCACATACCATACAATTCACATTTATTTTTACTAAAAGATACATTTTTTTAACTTTATTTATTTATTTGAGAGAGAGAATGAAAGAGAGAGAACATAAGAGTCGGGAGGGTCAGAGGGAGAAGCCTCTCTGCTGAGCAGGCAGCCTGATGTGGGACTTGATCCCAGGACTCCAGGATCATGACCTGAGCCAAAGGCAGTCGCTTAACCAACTGAGCCACCCAGGCGCCCTTACTAAAAGATACATATTTTTATTTAAAAATGTTTAAAAAATATTTCAGTGAAATAGTCAAAGTGATAAAGTTATTTGTCTTAGAGTGGACCAAATTAGAACATGCCCATGTTAGCAAGAACCCTATGTATATGTAACATTTGTGCCTGATACTTGGTTCTACTCCTCCAGGTTGGTATATGATAGGGAGACGGGAAAGCCAAAGGGTTATGGCTTCTGTGAATACCAAGACCAGGAGACAGCACTTAGTGCCATGCGAAACTTGAATGGGCGTGAATTCAGTGGGAGAGCACTTCGAGTGGACAATGCTGCCAGTGAAAAGAACAAAGAAGAGCTGAAGAGTGAGTATAAACCTGATTTGTATGCAACATGAATTAGTAAAGATGTAACAACGAAGATGTTTCCATTTGTGATATGTTTTAGCACCTGTTAAAATGGTTAGCCACTTAGGTTCTTGACCCCCTTGAGGCTCCTGCATTAGGGAAGTATACATCTTTGAGAAACAAGATAAAGTTGACTTCAGAAGTCCTTTAGTTACAAAGGAGTTGATTTACAGTTGAAGATGAATTCAGGCTCACCAAGCCATTAGTTGCACGAACTATGTCCTTAGGTAACCGCTGCTATAACTGTTTGTCAGATCTGTAATTGGTGGGATTACTAAGGCATCCTGGCTTTTTTCACGAGGTACCAGATCAGGAATTCCATTCTTAATTAGCATCTTTTTCTGTTATTTTGTTTTTAAGATTAGCATCTTTATCTCTTGTTTCACTTCTAATGACTTGTCAAAAGGAAATCAGTATGCCTCATCCCTAATTTAGGTTAACATTGTCTACCTATGTGATCCTAGTCCCAGCTTTCTTCTGAGAACAGAAAATACTTCTGTCACTTTCCTCTACAGAAATAAGAGACTTACAGATCACTTACTTCTCAGTTCCAGATAATTTAAAGTTATAACAGGTCCTGGAAAGGAAGCAGCCCTGGAAAGTAGATACTTGAAATGATTTAGCTCATAATTTTGCCTCCTTAACTTTTTGTACTTTCTTCCCGATCAGGCCTTGGCACTGGTGCCCCTGTCATTGAGTCACCTTATGGAGAGACCATCAGTCCTGAGGATGCCCCTGAGTCCATTAGCAAAGCAGTTGCCAGTCTTCCACCAGAGCAGATGTTTGAGCTGATGAAACAAATGAAGGTGGGAGGAGGCATTAGGTTAAGAACAAATCAAATCACATCAAATTTTTGAGGAGTTAATCAAGTGAATGGAAATGATTCCCTGAACTCAAATATAAGGTGTGCCTGTTGACCACCATTTCTTGCACCTTCAATATGCCATATGTGCACAGCATATTTTATATTTTGTGCAAAGAGCTTTCCATTTTTTATACACAAACACAACTATGCAATCTGGCTTTTTGTGGCCCATAGATATCAGATGTAGATCTTCAGATGTGGCTTTTCTCCTAAATGGTGGTATTATGGTATTTGAAATGCCTCTTCCTTCTCTTGCCTGTCATGACCGAAATTTTGTGTGCTATACAAAAACCGATGATAGCTTAAAAAGCTTCTTGAGTATTATATTTCTCAGATGAGAATGGCTCTAAATCACTATTAATTTCTAAGTACTAAGTATTGAACCTGATGATGAATCTCTTTATCTTCCCAGCTTTGTGTCCAGAATAGTCCCCAGGAAGCACGAAACATGTTGCTTCAGAACCCTCAGCTGGCTTATGCTTTGCTACAAGCGCAGGTAGTGATGAGAATTGTGGATCCAGAGATTGCTCTGGTGAGTGCTTCTTATTTGTTTATGGAAAGACCACGGCACACTTTGAGTGGGGTAGGAACTGCCTGATTGCCTTGTTAAACACACAACTCATAGATTTGTCTTTTCATTTTTTAGAAAATCCTGCATCGCCAGACAAATATCCCAACACTGATTGCAGGCAACCCTCAGCCAGTCCACAGTGCTGGGCCTGGCTCAGGATCCACTGTGTCAATGAACCAACAGAATCCTCAGGCCCCTCAGGCCCAGGCTTTGGTAGGGCTTTATCTCCTATAACGTTTCTTTTACATGTTTTGAATGCCATTTTCATGTTAGGAAGATATACTGAAAGAAGAACAGTCAGGAGCTGAAGATGATAATTTCAGTTCCCAGGCATAAAAGCAGTTTTCATTTTGCAGAGTACATGGCATCTGAATGAACATAGATTTGGTGCCAAGTTTGTGAAACAAAGCGATCCTTCATGTGTGTCCTTTTTTTTTTTTTAAGATTTTACTTATTTATTTGATAGACAGGGATCACAAGTAGGCAGAGAGGCAGGCAGCGGTGGGTAGGGGGGAGCAGGCTCCCTGCTGAGCAGAGAGCCCGATGCAGGGCTCGATCCCAGGACCCTGGAATCATGACCTGAGCCGAAGGCAGAGGCTTTAACCCACTGAACCACCCAGGGGCCCCTGTCCTTTTATATATAGGCTAATTTTGGTATTTATGTGCATGTGTGGTACTATGGTTGGCACTTTGTTATTCTACATCCATTATCTCATCTAGGACTTAAAGTAATTGTATGAGGTTGGCATTCTTACATCTCCTTACCAATGGAAAAAAGTAAAGCTTGCTTGCCAAGCATGACACAAAACTGAAGCCATAGAAAATCAGTACATTTGGGCGCCTGGGTGGCTCAGTGGGTTAAGCCGCTGCCTTCGGCTCAGGTCATGATCTCAGGGTCCTGGGATCGAGTCCCACATCGGGCTCTCTGCTCAGCCAAGAGCCTGCTTCCCTCTCTCTCTCTCTGTCTGCCTCTCTGCCTACTTGTGATCTCTGTCAAATAAATAAATAAAATATTAAAAAAAAAAGAAAAGAAAATCAGTACATTTGAAAACTGAAAAATTTCTGTATAGAGAAATAGAAATAAACCCCAAAGATAAATGACAAATTGGGAAAAAGTATATGCCACACACATGACAGACAACCGGCCGATTACGAGTCCTTGGTCACGTTCAAGAATGTTTATTGCCACATTATAATTGTGAAAGGTTAAAACATCCTAAATGTACATCAGTGGAATAATGGGGAAAATGTTGTATATTTATCCAGTGAAATACTCTATAGCAGTTAAATAAATTAGACCTGTCGCCATGAATGACTTTCAAAAACTTAATTCCATATAGTAGTAAAGAGGAACTAGGATACATGGTGTAACACAGATAACTCAAAAGTTACAGAAGTGAAAATGAGTGAATGTAGAAGCCTTCCCAGAATATGGCATATTTGTATTTGCACAGATCCCAAAAAAATGTTGAATGAGTTGCAAATATGTTTATTTAGTACGTAATGATTTACATACAATTTTTAAATGTCTGTAAAAATTCTTAAGTGGTTGTCTTAAGAAGGGGACACAGGATGCAGTTAGGGAAGACCAGAGGGCAGATTTCAAGTATATATAATATATTTATTTCCTAAACTGTATGTTTATTTTCTTTTCTATACCATTTATATATCTGGAGCTTTTCATAATAAAAGTGTTCAACCTAAGGGTAAATGTAAACAAAAAGAACAGTAATCTACCATTTTTACCATTCAGATTGGTAGAGGTAAACATCTTGAAGTCAACCGTAAGTGCCACATATGGCCTCATAACACAGGTCAGACTTGTCAGTGTCTGCTTTTAGAGAACATGGTCCATCTTAATTGCGTTCTATATAACCAGGCTCATGTGTATTGTCCAAAGGCATATACATACCATTTTTATTTTTTTTATTTTTTAATTTTTTTATTTTTGTTTTTATTTTTGTTCAGGGTGGAATGCATGTCAATGGTGCACCTCCTCTGATGCAAGCTTCTATGCAGGCTGGAGTTCCAGCACCAGGACAGATACCAGCAGCTGTAACAGGGCCTGGTCCTGGTTCCTTAGCTCCTGGAGGTATGTTTCCTTTACAGTCTCCACCATTTTGGTATTTTGCTAAAGTTTTGTTGTAGCAAATGGTATAATGTCACCAAATTATTATGTGGTAATGAGATCTTGATATAAAATTACATAGCTAGGAAGCATATATCCTAGATGGAGGGAATAGTTAGTCTCTTAAACACAGAGAGAAGGGAAAAGGACCACAAAATGGAAAAGTGAAGTAAAACTTCCAAATTAGCGAGGGGGAAATGGAATGAATGGAAACTAGCCAACAAAGCCAGCAAATAGAGGGAAAAGAAAACAACATTGTGAAGTAAGTAATAAACGTAGAGTAAAGAGAAAGGAATAAAGTTTCATGTAGTCATTATTCTGCTAAATGTGAATGGACTGAATTTTCCCACCAAAAGCCAGAGACTTAGATTAGGTTGAAAGGCACATTAAAAAAAAAAGACACCAAATACATAGTGACATTTGTTTTATTATATTTAATAGATATGAAATTGCATTTCATTAAATATAATCAGACCAAACAACAAAAGGAAAAAAGCATTTTTGAAACTGTACATTTTGATTGCAAGTATGTATGTAGAAATTATTAATGAGTATTGCTATTATGCTTTTGGTCTTTGTCATTCAACAATCATAACTAAGAGTTACTGAGTGAAATAATGGTTCCCTATATGAAACTCCTATATGAACACATGATAGATATCAATATTTTAAGTTTTTATGCAACATATTTGCCTCTTGTTAATTTATCTAATCTGGGTTAGATTGACTGCAACACTACTCAGTGTTGAATCTCAATTGTTCTGTTTTGTAGAGAAACTGGTCTACAGAGCTAAGTTGACAAGGAATAGAGGAAGGGATTTTAAAAGAAATTTCAGCAAATTCATGATTTTTATTTACCTATAGAGTAAATATCTTTCAATGAAAGAAGTGGATTCTGTATTTTATACATTTTGAGTTGTGGGTGCCTAATTTAAAAACCTTAAGATAAGGGTGCCTGGGTAACTCAGTTGGTTAAGCGACTGCCTTCGGCTCAGATCATGATCCTGGAGTTCAGGGATCAAGTTCCAGGATCAAGTCCTGCATCGGTCTCCCAGCTCCGTGGGGAGTCTGCTTCTCCCTCTGACCTTCTTCCCTCTCATGCTCTCTCTTACTCGCTCTCTCTCTCTCAAATAAATAAATTCTTTTTTTTAAGGATTTTATTTATGTATATGACAGAGATCACAAGTAGGCAGAGAGGCAGGTGGGGGGCGGTGGGGGTAAGCAGGCTCCTTGCTGAGCAGAGCCTGATGTGGGGCTTGATCCCAGGACCCTAAGATCATGACCTGAGCTGAAGGCAGAGGCTTAACCCACTGAGCCACCCAGGTGCTCCAATAAATTAAATCTTTAAAAAAAAATACTTAAATTATCACAAGTCGAAATGTGGCCCTACTACACATGACAAGTATGCAACCCATGACATAGGCAGCTCATAATGTGAGTTGAAAAACACCCAAGTCATCTGTATTCTGTTCAGTGACACAGGTGCCCTGATCATGCAATTAGGTGTCACAGAAGCATCAAACTGCTGTAAAAGTTTCTAAGTGCTCTCCATTTCTGTACTTACAGTGTCATTAATTGTTAACATACAGTGTGTGGATCAACATTTCTGTGGACCACACTTTGAGTACCTTTGTACTAATAGATAAAAAAATAAGTAAAAGATAGTGAATAAAGTAGTGGAACCAGTAAGCATGACTTATTATGGGAGATTTAGGTCTTTTGACTAAAGAATACACTTCTGCCCCCAAAAACCTTGGAACAGTTAAAAAACACATACTTGGGCATAAAATAAAAACAAGTTTAAAACGTAGAGATTTTACAGGCCATGTTCTCTTATTATAAATCAGTAAAATTAAAAGTAATTACAATGTGACTGAAAATAACATTTACTTGGAATAAGGGACATAACACTAGGTAATCCTTGAATTAAAGGGAAAATAAAGAAGGGATTTATAAATTATCCAAAAGGCAACAAAAAGTATACAAAAAAGTATGGGAAACAGTACTTAAAATGAATACCTTCAAATGCCTGCGTTATTAAAGAATAAAGGAACTCTAAGTACTAGTTTTAAAAGAACTAGGAAAATACTTTTTATAAAGAAACAAGATACCAAAAACAGGCATATTAATAAATATAGAAGTTGAAAGTAGGTGTGAAAGGAACTTAAAGTGATATTTTTATAAGTCTGTAGCATTTCTATTTCTGAAGTTATTAGAACATCAATCAGATGTTTGAAATACCCTGTGCAAAACTCATTGACAGTTGGTGAGAAGGGGAAACAGCCTAGTAGCAAAGAAGGCAAAGAAAATGAGTAGGCGCTTCATAAAAGAGCAAATCCAAATGGCAACAAAGATAAATGCATTTGTAGTCATGGAATTACAAATTAAATTACAGGATTTCATTTTACTTAAACCCATCAATCTGGCAAAAGTTTCAAAGAGAGATGACACTATTAGTGGGGAAAGTGGTATCATAACTTGTTACTGGAAATGTGAAATGTTTTAGCCTTTTAAGAAAGTAGTCTCACATTTAAAATCCGTGTACCCTTTTACCCACCAATTCCACTTCTGGGAAGCTGAAAGTGAAAGTGCCATCGTGTGATAGTGTATAATATGAGAAATTATGCCCATATGTCCTTCTGCCACCACTTTCCTCAGATCCTAAATCTTTACATTGTTTTAGTGAATTGTCTGAATAAATCATAGAATGGTTTGTGATTAGAAGAGACCTTTGAAATTCTGTAGACCGGCAGTTCTCAAACTTTGATGACCACCTGAGGAGCTTATTAAAGTGCAGATGCTGGTCCCCACCGCCAGACTTTGTAATGCAGCAGGTCTGAGGTCAGGCCCTGGAATTTGCAGTTCTAACAATTTTTGGTGACACTGACACTTCTGGTCTGAGCAGCACATTCTGAGAACCACTGGTTTAAACCAGCTCATTCACTTTACAGATGAGTAAGCATGGGCAAATGTTAACTTTATCAAATCACTTGTTCAAAATCACAGTTACTTAGTAGGGATGGGGCTAGCACAGGTTCAGGTTCTTAATCCATGGCTCTTCGGTACCTGGCATATTAAACAGACTAAGAGAATATAATGTGGGGGCACCTAGGTGGCTCAGTCGGTTAAGCATCAGCCTTCAGCTCAGGTCATGATTTCAGGGTCCTGGGTTTGATATGCATGAGCCCTGCACGCGGCTCCCTGCTTAGCAGGGAGTCTGCTTCTCTCTCTCCCTCTGCCCCTCCCCACCATTCACGCATGCTCACTGTCTCCCAAATAAATAAATAAAATCTTAAAGAGAGAGAATATGATGTATACTTGATCTTTTAGTTAAGTATTAAGGAACTGCAAACAGCAGCTCATCTTTTCTTCTTACATATAGCATATATAGTTCCTTTGAAGAAAAGAGAATTATTGCTATATAGAAAGGATGAGACAAGGACTTGTCGTACGTAATTATTCTTTGTATAGCAAAGAATACTATCCCAACTGGTTAGGGTAGAGCAGTGGTTCTCAACCCTGTTAGACCCTGCAGGCTCTTTTCATAACATTTTCATAACGTATTTCATAATGACTTTTTACTATCCTGGAATGAAATACACAGATATAACCTACTTAACATGAGTTCCCAAAAAAATATAATGCCCTTACTATAATATAAAGGAGAAATAAAAGGAAATTAACCGATAATAAAGAATATTTTTAATATGCATGTGTTCAGGCACAACTAGACAAGAAACCAAAAGGTAGCAGTCAGATGTTTGCTCCTATGCCATCAGTGTAAAAGCTACAGATGCAGACAGATACAGGTATGGTGTTTTCACAACTCAAATACCAGAGGGACTGTTGACATTTGTGTTATGATTTTCTCAGATGGTGGAAACTTTTGGTAAAGTTCTTAATGAAACAAAATGCAATACCTGTAATTGACTCAGTAATTGTATTTCTGGAAAATTTAGTTTATAAGTGTACAGATATAAATAGGGAAAAAGAGCTTTTTTGTTTACAAGTACAGCAGACTTAGGTTCTAAGTTCAGATGAATGTAAACAGATTTTCATTTGTGCTAATGTTCACCAAGACATCTGAAAATTTTGCAAGACAAGATAATTCTGGATTATGGAGGACTATCTCAGACATTGGATTTCATCTAGTATCCCTGTTGGCTTCTCATGAAATGCCAGCCATGCCCCATAAATCTTTTCACAACAAAAACCCACAAATTTACAAAATACCTTGGGAACAATATTGCCTCCTCTGAGAGGAGTTATGTGGGCAAGTGCCATTGTTCTATATCACAGAATTTCTGCCAAGGTTTTAGTAACCAGGGTGATTAAATATTCTCATTTAACTCACTTTTCTATCACTGAACCCTAGAGTTTACTAACAAACTTTACCTTCTGTATAACTGCGTTGTTTAGTGCAAGTTATGATCTTTTTTTGTAGTTTTCTGCCTGTGAGGCAGAAGGGAATTTGTTAACTCAGCCACTGTCCTAATTTTTTCTCCAGTGTCCTAATTTGTGTTTTTCTTTCCTTCTCTTTATCTTCTAGGAGGAATGCAAGCCCAGGTTGGAATGCCAGGAAGTGGACCAGTGTCCATTGAGCGGGGACAAGGTAAATAAGTACTAGTATCTGGTTAATGTGGACTGGACCTGGAAATGTTGTATATCTGCACTGTTTTAATATGGCAGCCACTAACCATATGTGGCTGTTTGAATATTAAATTCATTGAAATTAGGTAGAACTTAAAATTCAGTTCCTCGTTCCCACTAGCCACATTGTAAGTGCTCAGTGGCACACGTGGTTATGGCACCACATACTGGATATGGCAGATAGATAATATTTCCCTTATTGCAGAGTATTTTGTTGCACAGTGTTAGTCTAGACTTTCCATCTAGTGGCTCAGAGAGCCCAGCTCTACAAGAATCAATAAAGCAGATGGATTTTTTGTTTCTGTTTATGTCATCTTTTCATAATAATCTAATGACACTGCTGACATGTCCTCTCTCACTCTGTGGATATCTGTTGACTGATTAAGGAATTTTAATAATGAGCATATAACATGTAGAAGCCTAATCCAAACCACAGAGAAGACTGGGAGGGGATCAGAGGTCTGTGAAGCCTACTTGGTAAGGGTATGTTACACTGTGACCGTAACACTGGCTACCACAACAATGGCCACTCCAGAATCTCCAAATTATTTCCCTCTGTTGCTAGAGTTTGAAGAAACAGAAAAATGCAATGGTCTGGTTGAAAACATTAGGAGGAGAGAGTGAGAAAACAGAAGGAACTAACAGTAAAATTGAGCACATGCTATAGGCCAGGCACTTTAATTTTCATCAACAATTCTGTGAGTTAGGGGGCAGCACCTCAGTATTCAGGTAAAGAGATTTAACCTTTAAATCTCAGTTTAAGCTCAGAGTTTTAAGTTATTTCTTCCTGGGCACATGGTAAGTAAATACTGCTGAGTAATGTGGACAGGACTTGGGGCACTCATCTCTCCCAGCTAGTAAGTGGCAGAGCAAGGTGCTGAAGTCTCTGACTAAAATCTTACTCTTTCTGAATATCCTCACCACCTCTATTAACTTCCACAAACACTCTTCAGTGTCTTCTGTTCTCAGTCATGTTGTCATCATGATGAGAAAGAACAGCTTTGGGCAGCACAGAGAAGCTTAAGTTACTTCTTAGCACATGGCCTATAAATGAAACCCATTTTTTAAAAACAAAATATTAAGATAAAGGCCTATGTACTATATTTTCTTGTCTACAGTTTGTTCACTAAGGTTGGGTGCTAAAGTGACAGAATGGATCATCTGATCAGATGTTTGACAGTGGAACAAGCTCTTGACCAAATGCCTCATCTAAGTTGCCTGTGGTTTTGTGCTGTTGTGCCCCAATGCCCTTGACCACTCTCAGTAGATTGTACGTGTACCCAGAGTATTGCTGCATTAGGGAGAAGGCATTGGGGTTCCAGTCATATTTTTCTTCTTCCCAAGCCATCAGTCAATCAAACTTGAGCTGTTTAATATGTATTTCCAAAAGACCTCTTCTCTCCTGCTGTAGTTCTTACCACCTCTCTGGGTCCAAAGTTAGCAAAGGGAAATAACTAGAGTTTTGAAGATATATCAGGTGTGTCTTCTCAAAGAGGTAAAGGAGATGAGTGTTCTTTTATAGTTTTTGTTCAGTACTCAGCAGAGGAAGCAAGAATCTTTCCACTTGTACCCAGTTTTCTTTCTTTTCCTGGAATCCATGCTTCTTATGCACATTTGTAATGGTAAAAGGAGACAGTGAGATTAGTTTAAGAAGACACTTCTTTCCTTCTGCCACCTCTGTGTAGTGTTGGCTCTCTTTTCATCTCATTAGTCTTTGTCTGCTGTTGTCATGGTGTTTGCTTATCACCAGAGACTCACAGTGGCAGAATATTTTTTGAGGAGTGATGTTCTCTTTCTTTGTCTAAAGATCATTCATTGCATTTCCCACAGAGATTTTTGTGCAATAAACTGCAGCAAAAACAGTACAGTCCACTTCTTTCAGAATAAATCTTGCCTTCCAGATTCAGTACAGTGTCTTTCATGATTTGCTTATGAAAATACGTCTATGTTCTTTGCCTAACTGGAGATTCAGAACTGCCTTGTTTCTTGTAACTGTATAAGGAGATTTAGATGGACTCGTAGTAGCAGAGGTGGAAATTCAAAGTGGCTGAATAAAATCAGTGGCCCACCTGTTTCACTTTAGGAGGCAGTCTCATTACAGCAGAACAGTTTCAGATCCCAAAGAAGCTACTATGGTTTAGGAAGACTTTGTAGCACTCTTGGCTTTTTAACTTACATGTGTAAATCTTGAACGTCTGTATGTGTATGATTCTGTGTGTGGGTGTGTGCATGCTTGCGTGCATGTAAGCTATTTAAGTGTCTGCTCTTTCTTCTTTTGAACTTACTGCTCACCTAGGAACCCTACAGCACTCGCCCGTGGGACCCGCCGGGCCTGCATCAATTGAGCGAGTTCAAGGTACCCATTGTATCTACGGGTTTCCTTTTGCTTGTGGTGTTCAGGGTGGGACGTTGAGAGGACAAGGGCTGCTTGGCAGTCATCCTCACGTTCGGAACCCAGAAGGGTAGTGTTTTGGGCTTTTGTTTTTAAGTTTTTTTTCCTGTTGGGGCCACAAGCCTAAGATTGACCTCTTCACACAGGGCAGAGAACATGGATGATATGGGCATCTGTCCGAGGCTGTACTCCCTCCCTACTGGTGTCAGGAGGCTTGGATGGAATAGCAGTCTGTAAGGAGACAGCAGGTTCTTGCAGAGCCATGGCAGTGTTCCCATATGCCAAGACCCTACCTCTCTTTTGTGACTCTGGTCCTTGAACTAAGATTGATTTTAAGGAAAACCAGGAGCATAAGGTTCTTCAGGTTGCAGTGCTAGTCCTCGGCAGGTTGCTCCCCACTTTGTTCATTATATAATTCCATCCATACCTCTGACATGGCACAGATGCTGCCTACACCCTGCTTCTGTTCTTGAGCTGCAAGAGGAGTCTACTGTGGTGAGGTTTCACCCACTCTCAGGTGTCTGAATTATGTTGTCAGTGGTATATAGAGTCATTTCTTGTTTCCTGATGTGTCCTTCACAACAGTAACTCCCTGTTTGTTTCCCTGTCAGTGCCGATGCAGGACCCCAGAGCCGCTATGCAACGTGGGCCCTTGCCTGCCAACGTCCCAACTCCTCGAGGTCTATTAGGAGACGCCCCAAATGACCCGCGTGGAGGCACTTTACTTTCTGTAACTGGAGAGGTAGAGCCTAGGTGAGCACTAACAAAGAAGGAAAAGACTGGGGGAATCCAAATTTTCCCTTGGTCCGAGAACACCATCTTTCTGTACCTCTTTGCCTACTTCAACAGATAAATAAATATTCATGGCCACTATCTAAGACTAAGGAAGCACTTCTCCTTGGGCAGAACTGTATCTGTTGAGTGTGTCATTTTGAATGAACGAACCATGGTTACCCAAGTCATCTTTAGAAACTGGAAATTCTAGCACATGTCTAAACAGGAAAAACTTATATTGCTTATTGGTAGTGGCAGTATCAACAGTAGCAGTAATAATAAGATCATGATGACTGATATGAATGGGGATTATGCCTCTGACTCTGCTGTGAGTACTTTACTTAGCTCATCTCATTAAATCCACACAATAGCCCTGTGAGAGTGACACTAATATCAGTCCTGTTTTACAGATGAAGAAACCGAGGCATAGAGAAGTTAACTAAATGTGCCCAAGATCACACAGCTAATAAGTGATAAAGCCTAGATTTGAACCCATGCAGTAACCCACATTCTTAAGCGCTGTACTACATACTCGTTCTATACAATGGAATATCCGTTACCTTCTCCTTAATTATGAGTGCCCTGAGCAAATATGAAATTCTAGAATACATGCATTTGTATCTCCATAGCTTTTTTTTTTTTTTCTGCCTATTCAGTTCATTCTCCTTAGCATTTGTAGACTGATGTTTGCATCGGTTCTTTTTTTTTTAACTTACTGATCTTCTGCTTGGCATTTCTTTTATTGTTCTGTTCTGTTTTAAAATATCACATTTTTCTCCATCTCTAGAGGTTACCTGGGACCACCTCACCAGGGTCCACCCATGCACCATGTCCCTGGCCATGACAGCCGTGGCCCACCCCCACATGAGATGAGGGGAGGGCCATTAGCTGAGCCCAGACCTCTAATGGCAGAGCCAAGAGGACCCATGCTAGATCAGAGGGGTCCACCCTTGGATGGCAGAGGTAAGGGGAGACCATGTCACAAGGCCGCCTGGTAGTTGTAGGCTGATAATAAACCCAGCTGTCTTAGGTTCTAATCTGGGATAAAGAAGGCTGGGGCAGTGGGGTTGGCAAACATTTTTAAGGTTTATCTGCAAACCTGTAAAACTGGGAAGGAGAAAGCAAAAGCAGTCTTGTTTACAGTTGATCCTTGAACAACACGTTTGAACTGCATAGGTCCAATAGACATTGATTTTTTGTTATAAACATAGTGCAGTACTAAATGTATTTTCTCTTCCTTAACGATTTTCTTAATAACATTCTCTTTTTTCTAGCTTACTTTGTTATTAGAATGCAGAACATAATACATACAACATACAAAACAGGTGTTCATCAACTGTTTTATTATTGATGAGGCTTCCAATCAGCAGTAGGCTACGAGTAGTTAGGTTTTGGGGGAGTACTCCAATCCTCACCTTGTTCAAGGGTCACCTGTAGTTGGGGGGAGATGTGACCAAAGGAATAGATTTCTTTCTTTGATCATTGGTTCTTTTCGCTGTGAAGATGAGCAGCTACACAGTGGTTTTCTTACAACTTTCTTTACAGGCGGAAGAGATCCCCGAGGCATAGACACACGAGGAATGGAGGCACGAGCCATGGAGGCTAGAGGATTAGATGCCAGAGGATTGGAGGCCCGAGCAATGGAGGCCCGTGCGATGGAGGCCCGTGCGATGGAGGCCCGTGCGATGGAGGCCCGCGCGATGGAGGCCCGCGCAATGGAAGTCAGAGGGATAGAGGCCAGAAGTATGGATACAAGGGGCCCGGTCCCTGGCCCTAGAGGCCCTATGCCTACTGGAATTCAGGGTCCCAGTCCAATTAACATGGGGGCAGTTGGCCCCCAGGGATCCAGACAGGTATGTGCGATAACTCACTTCTTGCTTCTACTTGAAATCTTGATCTATTCAGGAATTGGCCATTGAGCCTGGCTGTGAGTGCTTTCTGATTTGGGCTATTTCTCAGCTTGTTAGAACAGGAAGCTCTCCCTTTTTCTAGTTTCTCTGTCCCTTAAGATGGTTATTTTCTGGCCACCAGGATTGTAGCAATCTTATCCCACAATTTAAGGAGTTGTTCCATTCAGAGCAGAGCCCCTGCAGATTTAGGAGGCAGTGTGTATCACTAGAATTTAGGCATGGATAATTTGAAAACCTCTCCCAAGTGATTCTAATGTACAACCGTAGGAACTGCATTAGAGCATATGAAGAACTATTAGCAGTCATTTCGATAATCTTAGATTTGCAGAAACCTATTTTAATTTACTTTCATCATGTAACCTAAGTGAACGGTGGAACATGAAAGGAACATGAAAGGCAGTTTTTACTAACGTTCACCTTAAAACCTGTGCAACTGAATTCTTATCTTTTCTTTCTTCTTATTTGGCTCTCTCTAGCTATGTGTATATGGCAATCTGTAATCATCTCTGTGTTGTCATCTCCCTCTTTACACACAAATGTTTGTGGGGAGATGGTATGTGTGTCTCTTCCCTGAATTTGTATGTGCTGGCACCTTCGTCTACCTCCTGCTCCTCCTTCCTCTATGTACTACTTCTATCTCTCTTCGCTCTTGCATACGGTTATGTGTCTTGCTCTCGTTTGTGTGTGTGTGTATGCGTGAGAGGGAGAGGGAGTGTCACTGGAATGGAACATGTTAGTCATCCAGTTCTCTCATTTTATAGGTTCGGAAACTGAGATCCAAGAATTCAGGTGACTTGTCCAAATTCACACAACTGAAAAGTGGCAGAGCAAGGAATAGAACCCACTGTTTTTTTCAGTGTACCACTCAGTCCTGTTATCTGCACATCATGTATGTGTATATGTGTATCTGCCTCCCCTTCTTTAATAGGAAATACGAATATGTTGTTTTCTGGTGTGTAAAAGAAAACTATTCTCTTTTTTTCAAATTGTGCTTTTTAAAAATGTGTCTGGGGGCCTTGATGTTTATTCTGCCCTCTAGGATCAGTAGCCTTAAAATAGAAACAGTTTTTATTCATTTATTTAGTCAGTCAGCAAATATTTATTGAGCACCTATTGTGTACCAGAGAGAGCTCTAGGTACTAAGGATATAGCAGTGTGAAAAAAACAAAGTCCCCGCCCCCATGGAGCTTGCATTCTAACTGGAGAGACTGACAACAAATAACTACCTGATGTCGTTATACAATTCTATCAATAGTTTTGTGGAGAAAGACATTGAAAATAAAGGTTGGAAGACCATTTCTGGATAATGTCTTGCTTTTCTGGCTCTGCTAGTGCTTGAACTCGTTACTCTGTAATATTAGGTTTATATAGTTTTCATTCGTAGATTGTATAAAGCGTATTAGATTTGAGTGAAAAAAATAAAAATTTTATCTTCAAATCTTTTTTATATTGTTTAAATTAATATGTTCACTCATATGTAAGAGATAGACAGTGGGAACCCTGCTTCTTCCCCTGTATCTGTCTCCCCTCTGACCCCATCCCCTACAGATCATAGCTTTTATTCAATTTTTGATGGATTTTTCTAACAAAGAAGAATATATTATTAGAAAAAAATGCATCTATATTTCCTTTCTTTCACTGTTCTGTGGTTTGTTTTTAACTTTATAGTATATCCCTAATTCATAATTTTAAATCAGATTTTTAAAAATTAATTCCAGTTTACCTAGTTGGAAACTTGTTAGTTAAAAGGCTTATTATGGGGCACCTGGGTGGCTTAGTCGTTAAGCGTCTGCCTTCGGCTCACATCATGATCCCAGGGTCCTAGGATCAAGCCCTGCATTAGGCTCCCTGCTCAGCAGGAAGCCTGCTTTCCCTCTCCCATACCCCCTGTTCGTGTTCCCTCTCTCGCTGTGTCTCTCCCTGTCTAATAAATTAAGTCTTTAAAATAAAAATAAATAAATAAAAGGCTTATCATTACTAGGGTGATTATGTGACTTATCCAAACAGGGACATGTTTGCAAGTGAGAGTGCTATTAAATAGTTACTCTGGGGCAAAAGCATAAACTGGGACTATCTTGGGCAAACCGTGGCCGTGTGGTCACCTATATTGTGACTTGTCTGCCTAGAGCAGGCATTCCTGGAAATTTTAAATGGCCATTATTGAATGTTTAGCTCATGATATAATACCTCAAATTAGTATTAACTGTGAAGCTTCAAACTTGTTATTTTCCTAATGTTTCAGATCTGTAACATAACATTAAGGTTCAGACTGGTCTCTGGATTCAGTATTGATAAAGAACAGAAAGTGATAATAAAGTGTATTGTGCTTTCTTCCCTTTTTAAACAAGATAATGAAAAATGATTTTTTACCATTTTTGATTACTCGGGGTCATCATTGAATGTGCCTATTATATGTGCTATAATAGAAAGTGTAGTTATCTCCTGTGTGGTTTCCAATCTCCTTCACTATCAGGCTGTCAACTAGCTATTCACATTGCTGTCATGGCATCTGCTCTTAACAATGTATCCACATTTCTTTTTGTGCTTTGCTGCTTCTGATCAGCTGGGGAAGCAGGTAACTAAGCTTGTTCACAATTTGTGTTTCATAATAGTATCTAAACTCTGGGTGAATGCCTGAGTGTGAACATAACAATATAAGGACCTTTAACAGTTATTCTCGGAGCTCTGAGGCCTTTTCTTTGGGTTCTGATAGTCTTCCCAAAGATCAAACTCACCGAAGATCGTAAATAAGTATGTTATAACTGCATTTTGTTCTTTTAACTTGGGTCAGTCCTATTTCTTGCTCTGTATTTAGCAGAAAGCATCTGCTGCATATTTTCTCTGGGAAGGTATAAAAAGCAAATGTTGAGCTAATAGCATTCTTCTCCCCAGAGGCCTTCCCCTCTCCTTCTGCCACTGCCATTATGATCATCTCTGCCTTACTTGTGGGATAGGGCTCTTTGGGATGAACTGCCTATGTCTGATTGAACTAGAGGTAGGCAGTATCTCTGTGAATGTTGCTTCCCCAGTGGACCAGCATATATTATCTCTAGAATCTGCTGGCTTTCATTGCTGTTTCCATTGAGCACTAGTTTCTAGGATGCTCTCAGTTTTCTTTCTGCTCATGCAGCTGGATTTTGCTTGATTTGATGGTACCTGATTGAGCTGTATGATATTTGTTGATGATGCTAGAGCTGCTATAAGCAAATGTGTCTAACTCCCTAGTTGATCTCTTGCTAAACCCTGCCTTCTGCCATTGCTAATGGTAGAAAGTGATCTTCAGAGTCATTAATTTGCTTTCTTTTAACTCCTATCCATAATCAAACCATATCTTTCACATTGCTGCTGTTGGATTCTGAATACTATATGAGAAGTTCTGAAAACTCTCTCCTCTCTCTTTGTGCACATAGGTCCCAGTCATGCAGGGAGCAGGCATGCAAGGAGCAAGCATTCAGGGTGGAGGTCAGCCTGGGGGCTTTAGTCCTGGCCAGAACCAAGTTACCCCACAGGACCATGAGAAGGTAAGCTGTCTGTCTCCATAGCCACACATCTTCTGGATTCCTCTTTTCAGTTATGATGTGGAGGTCCTGGGTCTTTGGAGTTCCTTTGGAACTGATGTTTACTCTTACAACTTTTTATGATCTTGTTATCTGAAAATCTGTGGGCCTGGTCTTAAAATTCTTGAATGGTTGTATATAAATGGCAGCTTATGTTACATTTCAGACTCATCAGGTGATAACGGTTGTTTTCTGCAGACCAGATTGACCTGAAAATCTGATTTCCTTTTTTCCCTCTCCCCTTTCTGCTTTATCCCTAAAAACATAGCAGATTCCCCATGAGTACATCTGTTTCTATATTTGACCATCGTGGGGAGCTCATATCTGATGGGAGGACTAAAACTTTTGGAAAAGAGATTTTTAAAAGGGGCGCCTGGGTGGCTCCATCCGTTAAGTGGTTAAGTATCTTTCTTCAGCTCAGGTCATGATTGCAGGGTCCTGCTGGGATCAAGCACCGCATCAGCTTCGGGCTCCCTGCTCAGCGTAGAGTCTGCTTCGCCCTCTGCCTTTGCCCTCCTCCACCCACTCACACTCTTGCGCATGCTCTGTCTCTCTCAAATAAATAAAATTTAAAAAATCTTTAAAACAGGATTAAAAACTGAAGACTTCCAAGGTTCATAGATAGCATGTTAGTCTGTAAGAACTTTGGGTTCGTGCAGGCGTCTCTCTGATTTGAGTCTCCTAATCTTCGGTATTATTGTACTTGAGCTTTTCATTGTGCCTTTTCTTGCCAGCTGGTTTGGGTTTGATTTGGTTTGGGGTGGGGTTTTTTGCCTGTAGTATTCTATATGTGAAGTATCCTTCCTTTTTGGACGGAAGCTGGTGGTGGTTTCTTAGCCGCCATCATTAAAACTCATTCCCCTTTTTTTTCTTCTCTTCACAGGCTGCTTTGATCATGCAGGTCCTTCAGCTGACTGCGGACCAGATCGCCATGCTGCCTCCGGAGCAGAGGCAGAGTATCCTGATCTTAAAGGAACAAATACAGAAATCCACTGGAGCACCTTGAAAGGTGAGCAGACTTAACCTGCCTAAGTCAGATGATCTCCTTGTGCATTTGGGTATTAGAGACTTTCAGCCTTAACCCATGGCCCTCTCAGCTGATCTATGAAGACTGTCCGAGGCCCACACTCCCTTTAGCTAAACTCTTCACCCTTCATTAGGTCAGCTTCTGTCAGGATGGGAAAGACAACAGGGTATCTGTTCATTTGTTGAGTTGGTTGTAAACTTTTTTAACCTTTCTTTCCTAATGGCAAAAGTAACATCACTTTTACGAATTTAATCAAATACAGAAACGGAGAAAGGTCGGAGTAGGAAGCTCGGCTTCCTTAATCTTCTTCCCGGGACAACCTCTAAATGTGGTTTGGTGTGTATCCTTCCAGGATCAGTGGTGTTATTTTATTCCAACTGTGCCATCAAAATGGTGAAAATATAAAGCATTTCAATAAAATATATAAATATTTTGGTTTCCAGTATTTATTTAATATTGACTCTTTTGATGTTAAATTGTTAGAGCACATATTTCAGGGTTATGACCATCCACTATCACCATTAGTCCCTTTACATTTTAGAGGTTGCTTACACTGCTGCCCTTTCTTTTTCTTTCTTACCTGTCAGATAAAATGGATAGTAATCATGGAACCATCTGATTCCGTGTATTGGCCTTTCTTTTAAAAACCATTTTCCCAGGGCACCTGGGTGGCTCAGTGGGTTAAAGCCTCTGCCTTCCGCTCAGGTCGTGATCCCGGGGTCCTGGGATCAAGCCCCGAGTCGGGCTCTCTGCTCAGCAGGGAGCCTGCTTCCCCCTCTCTCTCTGCCTGCTTCTCTGCCTACTTGTGATCTCTGTCTGTTAAATAAATAAATAAAATCTTTAAAAATAAATAAATAAATAAATAAAAACCATTTTCCCCAACATCTTGTATTTCATAAATAATTTTTTCTTGGGGCATCTGGGTGACTCAGTGGGTTAAGTGTCCACCTTCAGCTCAGGTCATGATCTCAGGGTCCTGGGATCGAGCCCTGCATCGGGCTCCCTGCTCCACAGGGAGTCTGCTTCTCCCTTGGCCTCTGCCACTCCTGCTGCTTGTGTGCACTCTCTGGCATGCGCGCGCACATGCTCTCTCTCTCTCTCTCTCTCTCTCTCGCTCTCTCTCTGTCAAATAAATAATCTTTAAAAAATACATAATCGGGTCGCCTGGGTGGCTCAGTGGGTTAAAGCCTCTGCCTTCGGCTCAGATCATGATCCCAGGGTCCTGGGATCGAGCCCCGCATCGGGCTCTCTTCTCAGCAGGGAGCCTGCTTCCTCCTCTCTCTCTGCCTGTTTCTCTGCCTACTTGTGATCTCCATCTGTCAAATAAATAAATAAAATCTTTTAAAAAATAATTAATTAATTAATTAATTATTTTCATTTTTCTTTAAAGATTTCTTTAGTTTCAAGTAATCTCCACCCAGCTTGGGGCTCAAACTTACAATGCTGAGATCAAGAGTCGTATACTCTACCAACTGAGCCAGCCAGGCACCCCAATAATACTGTTTTCTAAAAACAACTTAAAATTTACATTGTCCCAATATCAGCTGGAATATCACCTTTTGAATTTTTACTTGTTACCCCATCTGTGTTATAATTCCCATCCATCTAATATCAGATAATAGTGAGCTCATTTACACTAATTAGAAGTCTTTACAAATATATTGTGTTTTAGTCCATATTTGCAAAGTCATTAAAACATCCAAACTGGGGGCGCCTGAGTGGCTCAGTGGGTTAAGCCTCTGCCTTCAGCTCAGGTCATAATCTCAGGGTCCTGGGATCGAGCCCCGCATCAGGCTCTCTGCTCAGCAGGGAGCCTGCTTCCCCCTCTCTCTGTGCCTGCCTCTCTGCCTACCTGTGATCTCTCTCTCTCTGTCAAATAAATCTTTAAAAAAATAAAACATCCAAACTGGAAACATGCTTCATATCTGTATTTAGACTTTTTTTTTTTTTTGGTAGGTGCTCAGGTTTATTTATTTATTTATTTTATTAACATATTATGTATTATTAGCCCCAGGGGTACAGGTCTGTGAATCGCCAGGTTTACACACTTCACAGCACTCACCATAGCACATACCCTCCCCGATGTCCATAATGCAACCACCCTCTCCCTACCTCCCTCCCCCCGGCAACCCTCAGTTTGTTTTGTGAGATTAAGAATCTCATGGTTTGTCTCCCTCCCAATCCCATCTCATTTCATTTTTTCCTTCCCTACCCCCAAACCCCCCACACTGCCTCTCAAATTCCTCATAGACTTTGTTTTTTTAATAATTTTTTAATTTTATTTATTTATTAGAGAGAGAGAGAGCGCACAAGCAGGTGGAGCTGCAGGCAGAGGGAGGGGGAGAAGCAGGCTCCTGCTGAGCAGAGAGCCCAACACAGGGCTCAATCCCAGGACCCTGGGATCATGACCTGAGCCAAAGATAGATGCTAAACCAACTGAGCCACCAAGACATCCCTGTATTTAGACTTTAAATGATTGGACTATAATGAGAAGCTGTCATAGATGGATAGCTAGCCAGACTTTTGGTATGACCAGTACTTTATCTTTTTAGTCCAGATACCCAAAGACATTTTTTTAAGTAAAAGTCAGAGTCAGAGCAATTATATTGTTATAGTCAGAGCAATAGATGAAAAACTACTCCCCTCTTTTACTTTTTCTAATTTATTTATGTCAGAGAAGACATTTCCTACAATATGAGGAAATTACTGTTTCTAGATAGTGAAGAGAAAAATGTTTCTGAACGTTCTTTCGTTGTGTATTCTAGCTTGTAAGATAATTCAAAGCCTTTCACATAAACCACAGGGCAAAGGTTTTTGTTTGTTTTATATTTTATTTTGAAATAATTATAAATTCACAGAAGGTTGGGAAAATAGTACAAAGAGCCTCATGTACCCTTCCCCCAACTTCCCCCAGAGATAACATCTTGAGAAGCTGTTACGCAATACCTTTTTGATCTGTAGTACAAAACCAAGAAACTGACATTGATACATTACTGTTAACTAGATTACAGACCTTTTTCTGTTTTCACCATTTTTTAAACCTACATTCATGTGTGTGCATGTGTGTGAGAGAGAGAGAGAAAGATGTGCTGTGTGCTTGTAGGTCTATACCGTTTTATGTGGCCAAGGTTTTAATGTGTATTTGTTGTTACTTGTACATAATATGGCCAAAATGTTGGCTCTCCGTCCATGCTATACCTTGCTAGTTGTGATCCATTTCTGCTGTCACTTCTGACAGGCTTCTATTCTGTCAGATCAATGGTTCTCAACCAGAGGCAGTTTTGCTCCCTGTAGGACATTTGGAAATGTCTGGAGACATTTTTCATTGTCACAACTTTAGGGGATATGGTATATTATTGGCATTCAGCAGGTAGAGAGACCAGAGATGCTTCTAAACATCCTATAATCATAGGATATCTCCCCCACCCCTGTGCGCATAACAAAGAGTTATTTGTCTCCAAATGTCAGTAGTGCTGAGGTTGAGAAACTCTGCTGTAACAGGTGATCCCTTTGGGGATCCTGGAGGCAGACACCTTAGGAATCTCTCCCTGGTGATTGGCTCTTTTGCATAGCCTCCCTCCCAACTTTAAAATTTTTTTTTCCTGATGTTTGGGAAAGAGAACTTTGTCTCCATTTCTAATGGCTTTCTCCCAACTTTTCCTTACAGGTTTTCAAAAATACCTGGCAACAAATCGGAAAATTAATTCCATAACTTTGTTGAAATGTTGCAAAAAGATGACTTCTGCATCCTAACCCTTGAATGACTCAAATTGGTGCCAGGTGGAGGATTCCCATCACCTTCTCTCAGAACAAAATCAATTTATTCTGTTGTCTTAGTTTGTATATTTTCTGTGACTTGAAATAAACTTTGAACACAATTTTAGTATACTGCAAATTGATATACACGACCTTTTTGCTCTTAAAAAGCTGAACACCAAGGTTGAAACCTTAGGTGTGTTTTCAACCCTTACCACAGTATTGTACTTTAATGTTATATTGCCATAGTTCTGTTTTTCCTTTGAGTTAACCACTTATTCTTCTTGGTGATATTTGAGAATTTCTCAGAAGCAGTGTTTTCTGCAACTTAGTTTTTGCTTTGTTTGCTTCCAGCAGGAATAGTAAGATTTGCCCTTTGAGAACTTGCTAGAACTTCTGAGTTTACTGGGAGAAAATAGCCCCTGCTTAGAGCTATAAAATGGTCAAAAGGCCAACAAAGCAAAGAGCCTAGCAGAGCAGTGTATTTAGTTTAGAAAAATGCAATGATCAAAATGCACTTTTTTTTTTTATCAATAACAGGTTTATTCACATGCACAGTTAAGAGCTAAGACAAGAATGTTGAATTGGCACTGGTTGGAGTGTGTCAGCAACACAGGAGACTGTTAACATTTACCTGTCCTAAAATTTTTCAGTCTCGGTAGTCAACCTTAAAAGTTAAAGAAGCCACCAATTTTTCACATGTTCAAGATGAAGTGAAAACTAAATAAAAATCAAAGGAACAATATACATTTCACTCTGCCTTCTAGATAATCATGAACTTACAGCCTTCCCCCATAACCAAACTTATTCTGGGAAATTAAAACATAGAAAACCCCAAAACTTCTACATTCTTCTCATTTATTTTAAGAGGACCACATGTAGATCACAAGCAGTCAGATTGCCCATTAGGCCTGCCCCTGCCTGCTTCCTTGCAGATACATGTGGCAGTAATTAGTGCCACTCACTCTAACCTGTGGCTCCTCCTGCCTAGTATTCTCTATCTCATAGTGGCATTAAGGAGGAACATGATTTCTCTCCCATCAGGCCAACCTCAAGAGGTTAAGAGATGCCTTAATAATTAGTAAAGTTCCACTGGAACTATTATTTGAGCCTATTTATATTCTCAGAATCCTACCCTCTGGGTGAGGATTACGGTCAAGTGAATTAAAAGCCTTCCATAGGCTTAGAGAATGTAATAGCATATTGCTTACATGTCAAGCAAAAGAATGCAATGATAATCAACTTTATGAGAGACATTGAAATTGAGGGATTTTCTATTCTGATATGTAAACATTTACTATGACAAAAATTTGCTAAATAAGCTACTTCATATTATAACCTAGGAAGAAAAACGTGCTCAAAATAGCTGAGGAGCTTTCTGGGTATCCTGCTCATCCCCAGTTGAGGCTTGGATGTTGATTATACCTAGGATTTATTATCAATAATTTTTCTGCCTACTTCCATGAATATTCTAGGCCTTAACATATTGATTTTTAGCAGCAGTCTTCTCTTGAAGTATCAATACAGGTAGACATAGAAACAGAGTGAAGCCTTTCTCATTAGGAACTCATTATGTAAGTTTCAGGGAACACTAAGATTCCAAATCAAAATCAATGAAGATCAAATTCTATGGTCAGCAATTATCTAAGAGGAACCACGTCATCCAGGTTCCATTGTGCATTTTCCTAAAGCCTTATTAAATTTCATTTAGATCATTGAAATCCAGGAAATCGGCAACAGCTGGGATATTCCAATCTGTTCCTACAGAAATAATCCATTACTATTTTTTCCTGATGTCCACTTAATAAATGAAATGACTAGCTACCATGAGTTCATGACACCTTTGTTTTGTTCAGACTAGTTACTGAAAATTGATCTTACTAATCCTTCAAGTCATATAGGTTTTTGGATCATTAGAAACAACTGTCTATTCATTTTTGGTCACTTAATGGTAGAGAAATAGGTGCTATAATGCTTATTTAGTAAAAACATTCTTACAAATCTAATGAGTTGACGTCTTTGGGCACAGTGAAGTATGGGTTTTTTCCTCTCTCTTCAGGGCCCCCCAGTCTTTACTGATCACTGTGACTACTAACATCCCAGAGCCAGGTGGATGGAGGAAAAAAGCATTTTGATAGGAGAAAAAGACATCTTGCTTATGTCATTAAGTGAATGATTCCTTAATGAATAGGGAAGAGCCCGAAAAATGGTATCAAAGTTTTAAATTTATCTTTTTGAGAAACGAAACGTTCATAAACCCCCTTAGTAAAAATGATGATAAAGAGCCCCTGTTGACTAAGTCATCTTAAGATGGAGTTCAAGTTTTTGCAATTATTTCCAACAGAGCAATGTAAGCTAATGATAATTATCTGACTTTCAATTATAATATAATTTTACCTAAAATTAGCAGAGTTCCAGGAGTTTCTTTCCCAAATGGAGAGCCTAGATTAAGTAATAAAAGTTTCACTCATTAAGCAAAGAAAAAAATCCTTCATTTCTTGACAAGTAAAAATAAGTAAAGCAGAAATTGCTATTCACACTGGATAAGACCATGTTTAAAATAACAGTAAGAATGTACATAGTGTTATATAGGGATGCGGTTCTTGGTGATTTTATGTTCATTGTTTTATTATTTATGCTTATTATTATGTTTTGTCATTAATTCTTCAATAAATTTTTTATTTAAAAAAAATCACCCTAATTACAAATCTTCTTTGGAGGTGAGAGGGAGGGAAAAATATGACCAAAGGCAACACCTGGAATCAACGGTATCACCTGGGGTCAAGTTGTGTAGCTGTCAACCACCACTGCTCTCAGGCCTTGTTGCACTCATGGCGTTCCAGAAGGATTTATATAGTTCTTTCCCCCAAGAAAGGATCCATGGCCTTTGCCATTAGCATGACCTCATGAAGATCAGTGACATCCAAGTTGAATCCAATCAAAAAAGAGATGCCAGGGACTCAGAGCCTGAGAGGCATGTTACCATCCTTTAAATGGCTGTGCCCAAACCTGATCAGACCAAGTAACTTGTTGGAGATTCAGGGGAGAGACTAAATGCAGATTAGCACCCTTGTTCCTATAGTTCAGAAGTTTTCTTTGTTGAAGTAGAATTGAACCTTCCTGGGATCCAGACTGGAGTACTGGTGACAGCGTTTGCTCAGACTCTTTGCCAGAGTCTGAGGACCACATAGGAAGACTCCCACCACAGACCTGCAGGAATCGAACAATCGAAAGGGCTAGAATCCAGCAAAAGGGGCTAACGTCAGTGCGGATGGAGAAACTGCCTCTGCCAAGCCTCTACTACTGCCAACATCCTGCCTATTCAACTGTTGACTCCCTCACATTATTCATGGTAGTTTTCTCACCTTTTCTGCCTGCAAGCCCCAAATGCGCTCTCAGCCCTTGTCACACTCTCAGCATGCAGCCTTGCCTAGACTGTTGAGAGAACAGAAACTCAGGAGATAGTGCAGGGTAGAGGCAAAGTGCTAGCCCCTGGAGCCCTTGGAGCTGGCTATCTGGGTTGAAATTGCAGGTCTGACACTTAGCCCAGCTGGGTGACTTCAGGCAAGTCTCTTTAACCTCTCTGTTGCAGGTATCCCCCCTGTAAGATGGGGATCAAAATAGTCCCCACCTCACAGGGTTGTTTTGGGGTTTAAATGAAAAATCTATGTAAAGCAATTCAAAAAATGCCTGGCACACAGCAAGTGGATATGTGTTTGCTGCCAGTAGAGCCATCCACCGTGCGTCTGTCCCCACACCACAATTTCTCACACTACAGAGGTGATGAGCCTTCTTGCCAAGGATAATCTTCCTAACTGTGCTCTGGGTCTCACCCTCACCTTCCCTCTCTCATGCCTTCCTCTCCCTTCTTTTTCACTTAATTCAGATATAATTCACATGTCATAACATTCACCTTTTAAAAGTGTACAGTTAGTGCCTTTTTAGAGAGAGAGAACAGGGAGGGGGAGAAGGAGAGAGAGAATCCTAAGTAGGCTCCACATTCAGCATGGAGCCCAGCATGGGGCTCAATCTCAGGACCCTGAGATCATGACCTGAGCCTAAATCAAGAGTCAGACCCTAAACCTACAGAGTGACCTGGGCACCCCTACAGTTAGTGCTTTTTCGTATAGCCACAAAGTTGTGTACCCATCACCACTATCTAATCCAAGAACATTTTCATCACCCCCAAAAGAAACCCCATACACATTAGGAGTCAGTCAGTCCCCATTTCCTCCCAACCACCTTCACCCAGCCCCAGACAATCAAATCTACTTTTTATCTCTAGATTTGCCTGTTCTGAACATTTCACATAAATGTAATCATACAGGGGCGCCTGGGTGGCTCAGTGGGTTAAGCATCTGCCTTCGGCTCAGGTCATGATTCCAGGGTCCTGGTATCGTGCTCCGGCAGCAGACTCCTTGCTAGGCGGGAAGCCTGCTTCTCCCTCTCTCACTCCCCCTGCTTGTGTTCCCTCTCTTGCTGTGCCCCTCTCTGTCAGATAAATAAATAAATAAATCTTTTTTGAAAATGGAAAGCTACACACATATCCAGGGCAAGATGTGTGCTCAGGAAAGACCTGAGAAGACACTAGTCTCCCTCCCCTGGCTGATCTCTAGATTCAGTGCTAGCAGGAAGTGAAGGCTGAGGAGTAGAAAGAAAAAAGAATGAAGAATGGTGAACAGAGCCTAAGAGATCTGTGGGACACCATCAAGTGGACAACATACACATATGAAAGTCCCAGAAAGAGAAGAAGAGAAAGGTGCAGAAAGAATATTTTAGGAAATAATGGCTGAAAATTTCCCAGATTTGATGAAAAGACATGAATCTACATATTCAAGAATCCCAATGAGCTCCAAATATGATACTCAAAGAGATCTACCCTGAGGCATAATGAGTCCCATGTGTCAAACTGTTAAAAAACAAAGACAAAAAGAGACTCTTAAAAGCAGCAAGAAAGAAGTGATACAACATATACAAAGAATCTTCAATAAAATTTTTAGCTAATTTCTCATTGGAAACATTGTAGGCAAGAAGTCAGTGAAATGACATATTTAAAGTGCTGGCGGGGCACCTGGGTGGGTGGCTCAATCAGTTAAGCATCTGCCTTGGGCTTGAGTCATGATCCCAGGATCCTGGGATCAAGTGCTGCATGAGGTGGGGGGTGTCCCTGCTCAGCGGGGAGTCTGCTTTTCCCTCTTCCTCTGCTGCTCCCCCTGCTTGTGCACTCTTGTGCTCTCTCTCTCTGTCAAATAAATAAATTAAATCTTTAAAAAATGAAATGAAATAAATGGAACCATACACTATGTGGCCTTTGGGGTCTGGTTCTTACGCTTAACATGCTATTTTCAAGGTTCGTCCATGTTATAGCATGTATCAGTACTTTGTTCCTTTTTTTAACAGCTTAATAAGATCCCACCATGTGGATATACCATATGTTGTTTATCCCTTCTTCTGTTGATGGATAACTTGACTTATTTTCACTTTTTGGCTATTCTACATGCATTCATGTATAAGTTGTTGTGTGGCTAGCAAAGGCTGTTTTCAATTCTCCTGGGTATATACTTAGGAGCAAAATTGCTAGGTCATGTTGCTACTATGTTTATCATTTTGAGGAAATGCCAGAGTTTTCCCAAAGTGCCTCACCATTTCACATTCCCACAAGCAATGTGGGAGAAACTCTCCTATAATTTCTCCACCTCTTCACCTACTCTTATTGCCCATCTTTTTTTTTTTTTTTTAGGTTTGTTTGTTTGTTTGAGAGAGAGAGAGAGAGCGAGTGAGAGAGCACAAGCGGGGTGAGAGGCAGAGGGAGAAGCAGACTTCCCGCTGAACAGGGAGCCCAATGCAGGGCTCGATCCCAGGACCCTGAGACCATGACCTGAGCTGAAGTCAGATGCTCAACTGACAGAGCCACCAAGGATGGGCCCCTTATTTCTCACCTTTTATTATGGCCACCCTAGCCCTCTCTCCATTTTTGCATATTTATTTTATTCCTCTCTAGTGGCTCCTGTTCTGTCTGTAAGTATGCTAAGATCATTGTTAAGTTAAATAAGCATTTTCTGAACCCTGCCACACCTCCAACACTGTTGACCACACTTCTCTAATATTTCCTTCCTTGGCTTCTGAGACACCATTTCTCCACATTCTCCTACTTCCTCCCTGGCTCATCTTTCACCCTTCCCACACGATGTAAGCATTCCTTACTCTGTCCTCAGCCATCCACTCTCCTGGCAATCTCATCCATTCTCACAGCTTCAACTATGGTCAGCTCAATAATTAACATAATCACTTTCGTTTAAATGCTGCTTTACTGTTTACATAGCATTTTTCATGTCTGTGTTGTTTAATGTTTACAAGTCTGCAAGTGAGTAGAGAGGGCGTTTACTAACATAACCCCCATTTCATAGATAAGAAATCAGAAGATCAGAGGACTTTCTAGCTCGAGTTCCCAGAAATGGAAAGTGTCAGAACTAGTGTTAGGACCAAAGATCATCTGAATCCAAGTGACTAAGTGTTCTGACCATTGCCTCGTGAAGCCTGCCCTGGTTACCCCATGTGGGCATAGACTTTCCTTCCCTCCATGTCCATGTACTTGTTTCATGGAGTGCATCATTCTGTTTTGAGTGGATTGTATGCACCTCTTATTAAAATGTGTGCTCCTTAAAGGTGAGAACTATATTCTATTTCTCTTTCAACCTCCAAACCTTCTAGAATAGTGAGTGTTGAGCTTATAGAAGGTAACCAATAATGTCTGTGGAATTGAATTGATCTTCAGCTGCCAGATTGTTCCAGGAACTTATCTAATGATCAGCTCAATCTCCTTCCCCTTGAAATGACTGATTTCACGCACAAGATTTTCCTATATGCTCTAACATATCTCAAAACTCTTCCAGAAATACAGAGGTCAGGTCATGATTTAATTAGATAATACACTCCAAACCTTTCTTACTTTAACCAGGGATTATTAAGGCCCAAAACAATGCATTTGAATTTTTCCAGTTTTCCATTTTATTTGGTAATACTGATCAGAACTGAATCCCCTTGCCTCACTGTTTGAATGGAGGACTTGTAGGGGCAGAAAACATCTTCTCATCCATTACAAGGTCATACGCTTATTTGGCTAAAACCCCAGATGAAATTTTGTTCAGCTTGAAGCGAGAATCTGAGAGTGGTGCAAACAGTTTCTACCCCAGAGACCTTTTCCCAAAGAGTGTTCAACATGCTATAATATTTTTCCTAAACATTAACTCTGCAGACTCAGCTAACTAGAGAAGAATATACTTACCTGGGGTGGGCATTAGCTATTGTAGAAAACTCATTGTCCCACATGGGTCTCCCAAAAGAGGTTTTCTGTTTCAGACCTGTCAGGATGTCAGTGGCCTTGTCAAAGTTTAATGTGGCATGACCGGCCTGAAGGCAAAGAAGTAAAAGTTAGAAAAGGCAGGTCCTGACAGATGTCTCTTCCTTCAGCCACTTTTAAACTTGGAGGTGGGGGTGAGGGCAGGTAAGAAATCATAAGAAATAATTATTTCCAATGAGCATGCACGACCTTGTCTGACATTGATCTTGCATCTAACATGAGAATTAGTGTGTTCTCTGAACTCACAATGTTGCTGTCCCATCCGGTAAGGAAGAGACGGTAGTTTAGAAAATCCACTTTGCCTAATTCCTCCATCTCACGCTCCAGAGACGCCAACAGGTTATTGAACCAGGCAAAGGCACCTGTCTCCCTGCAGATCCAGTAGAAATAGATCTGGAATCAGCAAGAGAGAACATAGCCTTATTCAAGTGTCTTTAAGATGTCCATTTGGTGACATGACTATTATATATACTCTCTATTTGTTGGTCACATCTGTGGGTGATCTGAAAAATCAGTTGTACAAAAGCAGCATAAAGGTCCACAGTTCTTATGACGTCCCTTAAGGAAAAAGACTTCCAATGTCATCTTTGGTTCTAGGTGATTTTAAACTCCAAATTGAAAATGAAGACCCTGGTCCTATGATAAATCTATGGGAATGGATGCCTTGGCAGAAAGAAGAGATCACTCATTCTCATAGCTCCAGGGACCAGTTGTAAAGAAGTTAAGCCATGAAAGCAATGGACCAGTCATGCCCAGACCAGATGAAAAGAAGTATGAGGGAGTTACCGTTTGTGTTTTAAGGTTGTGATCTGCATGCCGAAATTTGTACCAGATAGATTTTAAGATGGAAGCAAAGGGGGTGACCCCAATTCCTGCGCCGACCAACACAGCCACTTCATACTGGAAGACATCTTCACTGACAGTGCCAAAGGGACCATCCACTTCAATCCTGGCGGCAGACAGAAGACAATGGGCAAGTGAAGTCTCGCCTCCACTCCCCGCCTCAAACATCCCTCCCAGGACATAGCTGCTCCCATGGTTCATGCAGTGCCTATTTATTTTAATCATATTTCGATTGCACTAGACTTAAAGTACAACAAGGAATTGCTTTCTCTTTTCTGCCTGTCTGCATCTGCTGTGGGTCTCGGCTGCTCTCCAGGACCTACCTGGGAATTGGTGACGGCTGCTGCTCAAAAACCCTGATGAGATTTTCTGTCCAGTCACCTGCTGCTCTGATATGAATGGAGAAGAAGTCTTCCTCTGGAGCAGAGGTCAGAGTAAAGGGATGCCACTCCAAGTAAGAGATGGAGGGACAATTAACAAAAATATACTGTCCCACTTCCATACTGAAGCCACGCTTGTTCATCTGCAATTCCAGGACTTTGGATGGGTGCATGACAACCTATGAATGAAGCATAGAGGCCAAAGGATGCAAACTCAAATGGCGACAGGAGCAGGCAGATGAAATAAGTCAGTAAAGCAAGAGGGCTGGCGATAGTGGTGAACTGCAAGCAGTCCTTTCGAAAGAGGGCAGCAGTGACTGTCCAGACAGTGGGTGCTCTGTGGAACCCACTGTTCCACATGGAACTCAGTGTTATCGGGTTGCCTGATTCTTCAGTAGAAGACAGAAGGGCCATTTTTCTTTTATTGTGAAAGCCTCCCTCTGGATGTTTAAATGTCAGCAACCAATTCAACTTTCCAAACAATCAGTGTGCAGGCCAACCGGAGGATGTCTGTGGGCTCGCCCAGGCTACCTGTTTGTGGCCTCTGACGAAGACCTATGCTGATGATCTTGGCCAAACTCTTTTCCCCCATAGTTCTGTCCAGCAATGGAGGAACTAAAGTGTGTTGCCCCAGTTCCTTCTTATTCCCTCCAGGGTGAAAACATGGCAATCTATTCCTATAATCAGGAAGAAAAGAACTCTTATCACAGCTAGGGGAAAGTGCATATTCTTTTTAAAAAAACTTTTTTTAAGATGTATTCATTTATTTTAGGGGAGGAGGGGTAAAAGGTGAGGGAGAGAGACTCCCAAGCAGACTCTGCACTGAGTTTGGAGCCCGGTGTAGGGCTCCATCCCACAACTCTGACTCAGATCAGGACCTGAGCTGAAACCAGGAGTGGGACACTTAACCGACTGCGCCATCCATGTGCCCCAAGTACATATTCTTTTTTTAAAGTTTTTTTTTAAATACTCTCTACACCCCATGTGGGATTTGAACTCATGACCCTGAGAGCCAGAGTCACACTCTCCTCCCACTGAGTCAGCCAGGTGCCCCGGAAAAGACATAATTTTTTTTTTAAGATTTTTATTTATCTGACAGAGAGAGATCACATGTAGGCAGAGAGGCAGGCGGCGGTGGGGGGGGGGGGGGGGAAGCAGGCTCCCCGCCGAGCAGAGAGCCCGATGCAGGGCTCTATCCCAGGACCCTGGGACCATGACCTGAGCCGAAGGCAGAGGCTTAATCCACTGAGCCACCCAGGCGCCCACATATTCTTTACCTTGGTAATCACAACCTTCTGCTGTGAGCGGTAAAATCGAAGAATCCTTTCAAAGATATAAAGAACTCCTGGTGCAAGGATCCACTTCCAAGACTGCAGAGAGAGAGAGAGAGAATAAAGAATGGGTTACATATTAATCTCCTGTTGAGGATTTATATGGGTAGCAGTTCATTTCTTCATTCAATAATATTTACCAAGTTCTCTGATGTGTATCATTATCAAGCCACTAATTTCACCAAATCTTACAGACGGAAATGGAAATGAAAAAATTATAACAGTTTTGTTTGCTAATATGTGACTCATAACGCAGGATCATTTCCTGAAGTTTTACAAGTCTCACTAGGAAGCAAAAGAAAAGCACAGAAATAAAATATGTGGTAATTATACATATAATATATATTATATATATTCTTAAATTACATATAAATGTTAATGTTAAGACTCCAAGACGGTCTTCCAGTACAATTTGTCCAACCTGAAAAACCAACAGAGAAGCAGATGATTAAAAACAAAATTAACGAACAAGAGAAAGCATGTGGCTGACACCATTTGTACCACTACATAAAAAAAAAAAAAAAAAGAAAAAAAAACAAAAAAAAAAACTTGGTATTTACCTGTCACTTCTTTTCTCAGGTGCTCAAAACACCTAACATAGTAACATACTTTTTATCTTCTCTACATCTTTTTTAAAAGCAGCCTTTCTACCTCCCTGAGATTCTCTCAAAGGTAGCAGGTTGCTTCCTATGCACAGGAACTACTAAAAATGTATTTCCTAGCAATGCTAAGTCATGTTCTTTCTCACACAACTGCTTCAGCGTGAAACATCAGACTGTGTGGAATGAGGTTTCTTTTTTCTTTTTTTTTTAAGATTTTATTTATTTATTTGACAGAGAGAGACAGCACAAGTAGGCAGACAGGCAGAGAAAGAGGGGGAAGCAGGCTCCCTGCTGAGCACAGAGCCTGATATGGGGCTTGATCCCAGGGCCCTGAGATCGTGACCTGAGCCAAAGGCAGGGGCTTAACCCACTGAGCCACTCAGGCACCCCTGGAATGAAGTTTCTTATGCTGTTTCAGGCAAACAATTTCCTTGGGTATCTCCAGGGAGGAAAGAGGCAGGGATGCAGCAGGTGAACTTGAGAGTGGGTTTTATACAATTTTGATGCTACTCCTTATTTGGAAAAAAAAAATTCTCCATGTCTTCAGAGAAAACACACAAAAAATATATTTAAGAAGTGGCTAATAACAACATGGCAAAAAAAATTTTTGACCTCAGAAATATTCAGAGAAGTGAATTTTAAACCAAAATAGCACTTTAGTCTCTCAGGTTGAAAAACAACATTAAACAATAATGCCCACCACTAACTGGCATGCAGGGACATGGGCACATTCACATGTGCAATCAGTGGAGGGACAAATTAGTAGATCTTCCCAGAGAACAAATTGGCGATACATCCCAACAGTCTTAAAAGCATTCTTTCTATTTGACCCAGAAATATCACTTCTAGGAAATGGAGCATAAAGATATAATTAAGGTGTGCACAAAGTATACGAGTATAGGAATGGCTCTATTATTTACTAAGAAAAAAATGACAAAAATGGTATACCACACAGATTTTTTTTTGCTAATACCCAACTGTCTTTTTTCATTTTTCTTTTTATTTCATTTTTTGTATTGAGATATAACCGACATATACCATTACATTAGTTTCAGGTGTACACCATAATGATTCAATATTTGTATATATTACAAAATGATCACAATAAGTATAGTTAATATCCGTCACCATACATCATTGCAAAAATTTTTTTCTTGTGCTGAGAACTTTTAATATCTACTCTCTTAGCAAATTTCAAATATGCAATACAGTATTATTAACTAGAGTCGCCATGCTGTACATGACATACGCATGACTTATTTATTTTATAACTGGAAGTTTGTATCTTTGGCCACCTTCACTCATTTTGCTCACTCCCCCACCCCCTATGTCTGGAAACCACCAATCTGTTCCCTGTACCTGTGAGTTAGGTTCATTAAAGTAAGATTCCAAATATAGTGAGATCATACAGTATTTGTCATTTTTCCATCTGACTTATTTCACTTTGCATAATGCCCTCAACGTCATTAAAAATGGTCACATAAGGGTGCCTGTGTGGCTTAGTGGGTTGAGCCTCTGCCTACGGCCCAGGTCATGGTCCCAGGGTCCTGGGATCAAGGTCCGCATCAGGGTCTCTGCTTGGCGGGGAGCCTGCTTCCCCCTCTCTCTCTGCCTGCCTCTCTGGCTACTTGTGATCTCTCACTCTGTCAAATAAATAAATAAAATCTTTTAAAAAATGATCACATAAAAAATGACAAAATGGTATACCATAGAGCTTTTTAAAAACAAATATTTCAGTGAAACAGCAGAAAGAGAAATTAAGAAAGCAACACCACTTACTATTACACCAAAAATAATAAAATACCTAACGATAAATTTAACCAAAGCGGTGAAAGACCTATACTCTGAAAACCACAAAGCACTGATGAAAGAAATTGAAGATGACACAAAGAAATGAAAAGATATTCCATGGTCATGGATTGGAAGATAAATACTGTTAAAAAGTATGTATTGGGGCATCTGGATGGCTCAGTCATTAAGCATCTGCCTTCAGCTAGGGTCGTGGTCCCAGGGTCCTGGGATCAAGCCTACATCAGGCTCCCTGCTCAATGGGTAGGCTGCTTCTCCCTCTGCCTCTGCCCCTGCTTGTGTTCCCTCTCTCACAGTGTCTCTGTCAAATAAATAAATAAAATATTTAAAATAAATGTGTGTACTACCCATAGAAATCTGCAGATTTAATGTGATCCTTATCAAAATATCAACAGCATTTTTCACAGAACTAGAACAAACAATCCTAAAATTTATGTGGAACTACAGAAGACCCCAAATAGCCAAAGCAATTTTGAAAAAGAAAAAACTGGAGGCATCACAATCCCACACTTCAAGTTATATTACAAAGCTGTAGCAATCAAAACAGTACGGTAGTGGCACAAAAAAAGACACATAGGACAATGGAACAGAATAGAAAACCCAGAAATGAGCCCACAACTGTATCATCAATTAATCTTCAACAAAGGAGGAAAGAATATCTAATGGGAAAAAGTCTCTTCAACAAATGGTGTTGGGAAAATTGGTCAACAACATGCCAAAGAATGAAACTGGACCACTTTCTTATATCATCCACAGAAATAAACTCAAAAATGGATTAAAGACCAAAATGAAACCACACAAATCCTAAAATAGAGCACAGGCAGTAATTTCTCTGACATCAGCTATAGCAACATTTCTCTAGTTATGTCTTCTGAGGTAAGGGAAATAAAAGCAAAAATAAACTATTGGGACCACATCAAAATAAAAAGTTTCTGCACAGCAAAGGAAGCAATCATCAAAACTGAAAGGCAACTTCCAGAATGGGAGAAGATATTTTCCAATGACATACCTGATGAAGGATTAGTATCCAAAATATATTAAGAACTCATCAAACTCAACCCCATAAACCATTTTTTAAATAATGCAGTTAAAAAAATGAGCAGAAGACACAAGTAGACATTTTTCCAAAGAAGACATACAGAGTGCCAACAGACACATGAAAAGTTGCTCAACATCACTCATCAACAGGGAAATGTAAATCAAAACTATAATAAGATATCACCTTAGACAAGTTAGAATGGCTGAAATGAACAATACAGGAAACAATAGATGTTGGCAAAGATGCAAAGAACAGAGAACCTTCTTGCACTGTTGGTGGAAATGCAAACTGGTGAGGTCACTCTGGAAAACAGTACAGAGGTTCCTCAAAAAGTTAAAAATAAAACTACCCTATGACCCAGTAGTTACACTATTAGGCATTTATCCAAAGGATATAGAAATAATAATTCAAAGGGATATGTGCACTGGGATGTTTATAACAGCATCATCCACAGTAGTCAAATTATGGGAAGAGCCCAAATGTTCATCGACTGATGCATGGATAAAGAACAGGTGGTAAGTGTGTGTGTGTGTGTGTGTGTGTGTGTGTGTAATGTGTGTGTGTGTGTGTATGTGTATGCGCGCGCGTAATGGAATATTACTCAACCATTAAAAAGAATGAAATTTTTAAAAAAGAATGAAATCTTGTCATTTGCAATGACGCGGATGGAACTAGAGGGTATTATGCTAAGCGAAGTAAGTCAGAGAAAGACAAATGCCATATTATTTCACTCATACGTAGAATATAAGAAACAAAGCAAATGAGTATAGGGAAAGGAAGAGAGAGAGGCAAACCAAGAAACAGACTTTTAAACATAGCAACAGACTGATGGTTACCAGAGGGGAAGTGAGTGGGGGGATAGGTGAAATAGGTAATGGGGATTAAGGAGTGCACTTGTGATGAGCACTGGGTGTTGTATGGAAGTGCTGAATCACTAAATTGTACACCTGAAACTAATATTACACTGTATGTTAACTAACTGGGATTTAAATTAAAACTTAAAATTTACATATAATACATTTTAATATATATTTATTTAAATTTATTCTATTTTATTTTCTGACTTCATTTAAATTTATTCTGTTTTATTTTCTGACTTCAAGATCTTTCTTTTTTTATTTTTTAAAGATTTTATTTATTTGACAGACAAGAGATCACAAGTAGGCAGAGAGGCAGGCAGAGAGAGAGGGGAAAGCAGGCTCCCTGCTGAGCAGAGAGCCTGATGCGGGGATCAATCCCAGGACCCTGAGATCATGACCCAAGCCGAAGGCAGAGACTTAACCCACTGAGCCACTCAGGCACCCCTTCAAGGTCTTTTTTTTCAATATTTACATTTTATTTGTATATATTACATTCAATCACACCATGATTCTATGTAAAGTATAAAAAATTCAAAAATAGAACTTCAAAGAATGGGATATAATAATGTATGTATAGAATTTCTATTATTATTATTTTCATGCCACTAAATTATGCATGTTGAATGACCACATTCACAATTTAAAGGCCACTGTACAGATAAGCCACAGATCTTAATTTCTCCAGAATGACCAGAATTTTATATTTAATAAATATAAACCATAGACCACATAGATGGGTTGATATTCTACAGAGGAAAAGGAAATATTTCAAATAAGCAGGATTTTTTTAAGTCATCATTCCTAAGGTATAATTTGCATATAGTAAATGTAACAATTTCTGGATCGTTTAGTAAATTTTGTGAAAGAACAGACACTTGTAACCATTATTGTCAAGATATGGAACATTTCTGTCACCTTAAAAAACTTGGCCATTCCTCTTTGCTTTTTTTTTTCCCCGAATCCCCACCTCAACTACCATTCAAATAAAAACCTGAAGAACTTGATAACTGAATTTAAGTTTTTTCTCAGTCAAAGACATTTTCTTTTGCCTCATGCAAATCATAAACAAGTCCAGGGCAGGGGCATTTCATAGTCCCACATGAGAGCACAGTTAAATAGAAGCACAGAACTGAAGAAGCAGAAGAGTGTGGCTTCAAACCAGGGTGTTGGCAGATAGAAATATAGAAGAATAATGGGTAGGAAAGATTTCTTAGGTTGTGGGGAAGTGATGGTGTAACAGATGTGGCACATGCTGTTTTAGTTTGAAGGTCTTTTTAAAGCTTATTAAGGGAACACTTTTTGCAATCCTTCAGTATTAGAAAAAAAAATTCCCAGGTGGTCTTAGGATGCTTTTATAATTTCTTTCCTTTCTTTAACATTTAAATCCTTGATCCATGCATTCCTGATTCATATTTTAGTATAAAGTGTAAAATCACGATTCAGCTTTTCTTCCTGGATGGATAACCTATTGTCCTAAAAAAATTGTTGAATGATATATATTTTTCCCAACTGATTTGAAATGCTAACTTTAGGGGATTTTTTAAAGATATTATTCCCATTTTTTATGAGGACCAAGATATTGCTCTTAATTCTGCAACTGATTTAAAGACTTTAATCACCCGCAGAGCACTTTGAGACACCACAAGTCAACCTTTTCCTTCCATTTATTCCTCCATCTAACATATTTTATGAGCATGCAAAGGTAAACCATGATATCCACGATAATTTTCCCAAGGCATACCTTGAGTTCCCTGGAACCCAATTTCTTCACTATTTAATAATTTCCAAGCATGTTCTTATAACATCAAAGAAAGCTGACTTTGAGAGTGCTTCTTAAAAAAAGTTGAACTCATAGAAACAGACTAGGAAGGTAGGTAACCAGGGCCTGAGACAGGAGGTGGGAGAGTGATGGAAAATGCTGCTCAAAAGGTATGTGACTTCAGTAATAAGATGAATAAGCTCTGGGGATCTAATGTAAAGCATGGTGACTACAGTTGATAATACTGTATAGCATACTTGAAATCTGTTGAAAGAGTAGATCTTAAGCGTTCTCACCACACACGCACAAAATAGAAACTATGTGAGGTGATGGATGTGTTAATTAATCTCATTACAGTGATCATTTCACTGTATGCATGTATCACTCCCCCCAAGAAAACTGATTGGGGGGCACCTGGGTGGCTTAGTCGTTGGGCACCTGCCTTCAGCTCAGGTCATGATCCTAGGGTCCTGGGATTGAGCCCCGCATTGGGCTTCCTGCTCCACAGGAAACCTGCTTCTCCCTCACCCACTCCCCCTGCTTGTGCTCCCTCTCTCACTGTGTCTCTCTGTCAAATAAATAAATAAAATATTTTTTTAAAAAAAAAAAAAGAAAAACTGATTGGATTTCAGTGGTCAAGAGCACAATCTTTGGAATCTGGAAAGCCTGGGCTTGAATTCCAATTCCACTAGTTACTTACTGTGAGAACTTGACCGTTGAATCTTCTTGAATCCTCGTCCTATTGTCTCACAATGGAGACCAAAAAAATACCTACCTCATCGATTATTGTTTTGCATAAATGAGATAATCCATATTACACAACAAACCTGTCCCGTGGTAAACACTATTAATAATGTGAGGTATCGGGATGCCTGGGTGGCTCAGTTGGTTAAGCGGCTGCCTTCGGCTTAAGTCATGATCCCAGCACCCTGGGATCAAGTCCCACATTGAGCTCCTTGCTCAGCAGGGAGCCTGCTTCTCCCTCTGCCTCTGCCTGCCACTCTTTCTGCCTGTGCTCACTCTCTCTGACAAACAAATAAATAAAATCTTAAAAAAAATAATGTGAGGTATCATTATTTTGGAGAGGGTCTCACAACATGCAATAACCATTAGTCCTTCCTGTTCAGGATCCCCTGTTGATGGTAATTCCCCAGGCTGTTGCCAGTGATACTGGAGTCCCTTGATGGTAGGAACCTTGTGAATATATCCTCCATAGGACTCAGCACAGTGCTGAACTAATAACAGTAACAATAGTAAGAGTAATAATAACCACAACAATAACAGCTTCCAGCAAGAGTCTACCCTTGCCTATGGGGCTCTTACCTCAGCAGGGAGCCCTTCAAACTGGGGATGCTTGCAGTGGGACTCCTGATCATCCCAGTGCTTGAAAGATTCTGCACACCTGTGAGGATGACTCTCATTCAGGCTCTCTTCTGTTTGACCCCGGACAAGTCCACTGAGACAGAAAAAGAAGGACAGTTTGGGGCAAAGAATTATGCAAGGTCAGGGGCTGGGGCACGAGAATGAGGGTTTGAGGACCTTACCCAATGCCGTGAATCCCTAAACCAATGATATAGATGATAAAAATATGGTGTGTGTACCAGAAGACCTCAAAATAACTCCTCCGGATAAACTCCATAGCTGATGTCACCATGAGAACCAGAGCTACTGTGATGATCAGGCCAGTGAGACCAGCAATGCTGGTAAATGTCACATACTCCACTGTCTACAAAAGGAGAAATTTCAGCCTGACACAACAGGTGCCAATCATGCCATGCCCTTCCATACTCGTGACCAGATGGCAGATGCTTTGCCATTGAGTCAACTCACCATGTTTGGAGACTGGAGAGGATTTAGCCAAGAATCTTCCCTTTTCTCTTTATGAGATAGGGTGGAGAGAACAAAGGCAAGCGACCCATCTCTGGCCTGTCGGCTTCTGTTGTAGTGTTCAAAGTTGAACAGGTGTGCAATGATGTGAATGACTAAATGGAAAGATGACGGTAAATTGATACGTGTCTTAGAAATATCACTGCAGGCATGCCCCACTAGCAAAGGAGAATCTTATAGATAGTGTCTAGCAGAATTCTGAGTCCACGGGAAGTGCCAGATAAATCTTGATTGCAGCGAGAACGAAGATCTTTTGTATTCTCATTCTGTTCCCAAAAGAATCAAATATAAGTTCCATGAAAATAGGCCTACAGGGGCACCTGGGTGACTCTGTTAAGTGTCTGCCTTCAGCTCAGGTCATGATCCCAGGGTCCTAAGATCCAGCTCTGCATCAGGCTCCTTGATCAACCTGCTCAGCGAGGAGCCTGCTTCTCCCTCCACTACGCCCTCTGCTTGTGCTCTCTTGCTTTCTCTGTCAAATAAATAAATAAAATCTCGAAAGAAAGAGAGAAAGGAAGAAAGGAAGGAAGGAAGGAAGAGAGAGAGAGAAGGAAAGAAAGAAAGAAGGAAAGAAAGAAAGAAAGAAAGAAAGA